CTCGTAGCACCCAGCTGGGCACACTAAAGCAACCATCATCTCCAACATTAATCTTCTGTCCAGCTCTGAGACCTGCTACCTCCTGGCCTCTCCCTTTTGTCAGCCTCTTCAAACCACTTGCGGTCAACAGGTGATCCTGGGCTCTCTACACCCTTCTAGGCCTGATACAACCGTCCCAAATTGCACCACGGGTCTGACTCTTCACCATTCTCGTGTCCTAGGTGGCTGCGGGCCTACCCTGACAAGTGACCAAGAGATGTCAACCCTTCACCGCCTCGAATCGATTTGCCATACTTAAACTCCTCCAGACACTCTACAAACTTCCGCTGCATTGAGAGAGACTACATAATTTTACACTATAATCTGGGTACTAAAGTCTTTGGGTTGTAATGACTAATAAAACACGCGCTTAATGTGACCATTAAACCATCTGATACCTGGTAATATATATATTCTAATTGTATTGTATTGAATTGAGGGAATGAAAATCTCTTCAGCAACTGATGTTAGAATAACTTCGTACACAGTATGAAGTAAATAGATTCATTGAAACACATTGCATATAATTAATTTCATCAAGTGGGTGTTTGTCAAGGCACACAGGCTACAGGTCAAGTTCTTGGACCGTCGCAACACCAACTACTGCGAAAGCATTTGCCAAGGATGTTTTCATTAATCAAGAAATATATATATATATATATATATATATATATATATATATATATATATATATATATATATATATATATATATATATATATATATATATATATGAAATTTTGTGAGGCCCCCTGCGGATTGTAAGGATTTAAGCTGTAGCTTGTTTAGCTTATGGGCAAATCCGGTACTGCCCTGTGGACTGTACCTGCGATAACTTGTCCCGGGCCGCGCCGGGTCCTTGAGCAAGCCTGAACACCTACAATGACCACCCATGTACACCTACAATGACCACCCACGGACACCTACAATGACCACCTACGTACACCTACAATGACCACCCACGTACACCCTTCAGGGGACTGTAGACAGAAGCATTGGGGTCCTAAAGTGACTACACCCGGAGGCTTCCTTTATCTTTGTAAACACAAGCCAGAGAGGGGATACATACATACTCTATGTGTATGTGTATCCCTCTCTGGGACAATGATCCTGCTCTGGATCCCTGTGGAGGAGCCACAGCTCGGCCTCTCCAGTTGTCACAACGTCACAAAGATGGTGTACTAAATTGTCCGAAACTAACCTAAATGAGGATCTCGATATAAGCCTAAAGTGTATATATATATACACTCTGTCTGCCTGCCCCCCCTGACACAATGAATTAATTAAATTACAGCCCTTTGTAACCATTGATAAATTCGTTAAAAAAAACGTAAATTTTATTTAACGAGGATGACTATTGTAGAGGAACGAGAAGAGTGAAAGGCTGATAAACAGAGGACAAAGGAGATTGAATAAGTATCAATAGTTTGAACTAATGAAAAACAGAATAAATTCCAAAGAGAACGAGAGGAGGAAGGACATTTTCATATCAAAAGATAAATTGAAGATTTAAATGACAAATTACACTTGTATATCCAAACAGATAGAATTCCAACCTCAACTAACGGGTTACGAACCTAATCACAACTTGGCATGTAAACATTGACACAGCTGAGGAAGGCTCCACCAGACCAACAGGACCATCCTCTTAGTCTCTGGTGCTGCAGGGTCCTAGAACCATCCTCTTGGTCTCTGGTGCTGCAGGGTCCTGGGACCATCCTCGTGGTCTCTGGTGCTGCAGGGTCCCAGGACCATCCTCTTGGTCTCTGGTGCTGCAGGGTCCTAGAACCATCCTTTTGGTCTCTGGTGCTGCAGGGTCCTAGAACCATCCTTTTGGTCTCTGGTGCTACAGGGTCCTAGAACCATCCTTTTGGTCTCTGGTGCTACAGGGTCCCAGGACCATCCTTGTTGGTCCCTAGCACTACTCTGCCATTCTTTTCATTTTGCAATTTTTACGGCTTTGTTTTTTGTAAATTAATTGAGGCTTTTCATGTTTGTTTTATTTACTTGTGAAGCAATCAGTCTCTTTCGTGCTTTTGGTGACGTTTTTAATTACTCAGACTGTTGTCTTTGTCCGGGATCCTGTTTTTGTTGTTGCAGGGCGTAGTGATGCCTGTTGTTTCTCACTGTTGTGTTGATGACGTGGTGGGCCCCTAGCAGGGTAAGACGACGTGGTGGGCCCCCTAGCAGGGTGAGACGACGTGGTGGCCCCTAGCAGGGTGAGACGACGTGTTGGACCCCCAGCAGGGTGACGCAGCAGGTCTTCCTCTCTCACTAAACTTCCTACGCTAGCCTAGCCTCGCTATTTATTACAATAGCGTTCCGAGACCTTATATAGATGTTTATATCCTTCATTTGCATCGTATATACACGATAACTTGATCAAATGGACTTTTACTTGCAGCAGCCTGCATGCAATCCCATCCACTGCAACCAGGCGACTCTGACACTTGACAAACTGTATATTGAAGATAGGTAAATGATATTAAAATAGAAGTGATAAACAATGCAGAACTACAAGACCAGGAAAGAATTAAGAAATTCTGAAGAAGACAGTCAGATAGAAACAAAACAAGAGATGAAGAAAACAGGAGAACATATAACAACCATATCAAGTACAGAATATAACACGTATATGTAAATTATATGTAAATGCTGTATATGTAAATATGTAAATGCTACACTAAGGGACTGATATAGTGGTAGATAATTGCTCGTTAACAGAAAATATTTCAAGTCATCCCCAATTTTGCCTGGCTACCATACACTATGATGAATAATTTAACTATCTAAATTAATTAAGGAACAACTGAAACACCAGCATTAAAATGGAGGATCAAGCTATTGACTAAATTACTTCAGTCACCCGTTGACAAAGACATAACAGATGTTAAATAATATCACCATCACGATTTATTTCCGCTGTAATAGTAATCTCTAATATTACAACATAGATTATAAGATTGTAGCTGGCAGATATCTTATCGCGCCATGGTTCAGAGCCTAGGCTCCTGTACCCAATGACTCGGGTGTGTGCATTCTCACCCCATACTCCTATTTCTTATTAATACACAAGCGAAATGGAACTAAACATAATATTACTTGAATCACCACAATCACTAAAACAGTTACAACTGTACTAGTCATCAATGTATGTACTTTCGCAACCAAATGTACCTTCTATATAAAAATAAATGTATAGTAGGTCACTGGAAACTAGATAGTGGTCTCGACGAGGACACAGAAAGCTAAATTACTTAATAGTAATGGCAGTCCATTGCTAGTAGTAGTCCATTACTGATAGTAGTCCATTACGTAATACAAAAATAGTTGAAAGGCGGGACCAAAAACAGAAGCTCAACCTCTGCAAGCACAAGTAGGTGAGTTCAATAAACTAGCCACATCAGGCAGAAACAACCAGTTTTACCTCGTTCTATGGGGAAGGAAAGGCGTTCCATAGTGTCTCATTCAGATATTTAGATAAGATAATATATTTATTCAGGTAAAGGTACATACATTGAAAAATGAGTTACAAACATAATGTCTTAATTTGAATTAAGTTTGAATCAAATCAATTATATACTGTGAGTTATAAATTTCATACTCTGATGAACATATAGCTAACCCCTGCCCACAGTTCGGATTCCTAGTATATGACGCTATTCAGTTTAATGTGGGTGAAGGGTTACTTACAGCTAGAACATTTATAATTTATCTTCTCATGTCTCGGGTTCACAATGTTCAAATACAACTTCATTGCAGCAATTTAGTTTAGGACTTCTCATTATCCCACTTGCTGTTCAAGTCTTACTTTAAGTCACATGTTTTATATCCCCAAGTTATATGGTATTATATTTCTCTTTATCATAGGTTACTTTCCATTATTCGTTATCAAATATCAAATTGTGTGCCACAGTTGTAATGTTAAGCTGGATTACTGTTTGCAGTGTGCAATTGTTCCACAAATGTTATTTCAGGTATTCACAGGTGCAAGTTGCTACTCAGTAACTCATTTATAAAGTCTATTTATTATTACTAATTGCACATCATCCCTCAATTTAGCTTGGCACATGTTTAAAGGGCCAACAACTACACTATAACTAGCAGCTCCCAGTTGCTAAATTAATATTAATTAATTTACCCGCCACCTGTGATTCACTCGCCTGGCCAAAAATAGCTGACTCTTGACCTATACTCTATAACCTTTCATATAGAATAGCATAGCAGCATATACGACTGCGTATAATGTTGTTAATAAGAGAAATATAGAATAGAACTGGTACCTGAAGCAGTGTGTTGTGGTAGTGAAAGAAAATGGGGCGAGGGTAGTGTGGTGCGAGCGGCCGAGCCGTCAACACAGGTTTGTTTGGGGTCTCTTCTCTTATAATAATTAATTGTGTCGCGGGACAGGAAGCCTGAGTGTATTGATACACTTTAGGCTTGTATCGAGGTCCACCTAGGTCGAGTGACTGACCAACTGCCCAGGATGTAACCCTTCCCCCCCCCCCCCCATAACAAGCGGAGTAACTCCAGAGTGGCTGTTCTTTTCCTAGGTGAACAGATACATTAGGTGAAAGAAAATGTGCCCAACCATTTCTGTCCTGCCCCGGCATTGGAACCCGGAATTCTCTTATTGTGCGTTGAGAACGAACCCGACTGTATTTCAGGGAGCTTATCCATGTATCTATTATGTAGTACTATGTTCAGTGATATCTTATCTGGGCCTAGAGAACACTCGACAGGTTCCCTCTCCTTATCTGGTAAATGGGAGAGGTGAGACACTCGTAGGGTGGCAGAATCTGTTCTTGTTAAGTGTGTGGCGATTGTTCATTTATTTATCCATCCTTGCCATTTCATTGGTAAGGGGTATTTACTGGAGGGCCACTAACCCTAGTGGCCTCAACGAGGACAGGAAGCTGGCGGCTTGTCGAAGGTTCCCCCCCCCCCCTCCCCTATTTAGTCGATACTTTGTATCGGATCTGTCCTGTGAGGGTTAGTGGACCTCTCCCATGTCTGTCTCGGAGAGGTTTGGAGGACCCCCCCCTCCCCTACTTGTCCAACGAGCTGTAATGGAATCCCCCCCCCCCCCCTCCTCCCCTGCACCCTTTCATACTCTTGTACTCATTGTTACTGGAAGTGGACCCTTGCTGCCATCTTCATCCTGCGAGGAGTTTGATCCATTCCCTCTCTACCCTACACCCAACCTGCGTGCAGTAGTCAACCCCCACCCTGTACTTACCCTGTGAGTTTGTGCCCTGACCCATCCAGTGAGAGGCAGTGGAGCACATCCCCTACCCCAGTACTTGTACTGTGAGGAGTGACTACCCTCTCGGTACTTGTCTTGCAAACAATAGTGAACTACCCTTCCCTCTGTACCCATCCTGAAAACAAGTGTTCTTCCCCCCCCCCCCCCCCCATCCTGTACTAGTCCTGTGGGTGGTAGTGGACCCCCCCCCCCATGCTGCTGTGCCTATCGTGTAAACATTGGTGGGGAAACCCCTCCCCCCTCTCTGTACCCATCTTGTGAGCTGTAGTGGATCTCCAAATACCCATCCTATGAATGGTTGTGGTCAATGATTGTTCAGCAATTTTATTGGCCTGCTATTAACTTGAGAAATTTGGAGCAAAGTACAAAAATTATCAATTTTGCTTTTCTTGAAGCCCCAGTGGCTCCATTATTCAGTGATACAGCTTTCCAATACAGTACTTGGTCACATTGGTCATAGGAGTCCTGTTGGCCTACCAGAGCCAAAACCTGACCTCCTCGAAGAAGCACAAAGCAGGGGATTGTTACAATCACCCACAAGAAGAAAGCACGTGGAACGCAGACAAGATGCCAGATTTGTGGTCCGTGAAAATTAAGGACTCCAACCCCCATCCTGGAAAAAGCCAGCAGTCTGCCAGCAAAGCTGGCATCTTCATGTTGATGTGGGAGGCAATTTCCTTCACCCAAGCTGTTAAGTTCTCGGTTCTGCATCTCCATGATTGCTGGCCATGCATTGAACTCTAAGCCTTTGAAGGCCTTTTTGCTAGCAGGTCGTTCTAGGTTTATCTTTTAAATCAAACTACCCATCCCAGTTAATAGAAACATTGCTGTCAATGCACAATTGCAATACTAAATTCAAATTTTAATATGGCTTCTTTTGCAATTTATTAGTGTAATTATCTAACTTCTATACAATCAATATAATTCTAAACTGACTACAGTACGTATTATATTATCAATTGCTAATTAAAGTTAAAATTTGTATTTTATTACCATATAATTTAAATTTGGCCATTGAATAATTAACTTTTCCATATTTGGTACATTTTGTAAATAAAATTAACTAGAATAAACTACAATTGACTGTCTTGCGTAGGTTTGATATTTGCAAAACCAATATTTTAATTTTACATAATTATATATGCTGGGTACTACAGTATTTCCATAACTTAACATTGTACTAATTTGTCTCTAATGAAGTATGCCAACTACAGTCTTGTACACAAAGTCCAGTTATTGAAGGCCATTCAGTTGTAGGCTCTGAACTAAACTAATATTTTATAAAATTATGCTAAGAATGTAATGTACAACAATGAACCAAATATACACAAACTTGTTCTTGCAGAGAATGTGGATAATGTACAAAATGTATCTCGTGCTGCCTCGTAATATTTCTTTGGGTGGTCGTCTGATGGCTAGAGGTCTGCACAACGTGTTCTCGGCTTCATCACGGGTAATTACAGTACTGTACTGTATAAAATATGGATTGGTGCAAAAAAAAAAAAATTGCACTTCTGTAGAGGGCCAGAAGGCAGCGACTAAACCTTAACTTTCCTAGACCTTATATAATGTATGTGTATTGTATGTATAAAGACCTAAAGTGGCATATTAGGCCCATTATTACTTATTTAGATTTATAAAAGTTTGGTGTATAGTTAGTGTAACACTATCTTTGCATGCCATTTGTAGAATTCTAATAGAATGAAATGAACATTTTGAGGGGTATAAACATAAATTTTGTACAACCCATCTACAGTCGCTGTGTACAGTACATGGACAATCATTTTTGGATTACGGGTTGCACATGCACCAATTGGAATTGTTATGACATCTTGGTGATTCGGCTGATGCTCCAGTTTCTAGGAATACATCTAAAGATATTAACCTTGCTTACAATAGTTTCTGGTGCATTGTGAGACTGTAAATGCACAATCTAATGGTTTTACATTCTTGTATAGCCACGAACACGCATGGCACTTTGGTTAAGTCCTTGATCCTAATTTTCGCACGTGCACACCCTCGGGAAGTGGCCAGTAGCAGCTGTCTAACTCCCAGGTACCTATTTACTACTAGGTGTACAGGAGCATCAGGATTGGAAACTCTGCCCATTTGTTTCTGCCTCCGCTGGAGATTGAACCCAAATTTTTAGGACTATGACCTCTGAAACCTGTCTACTTGTATGTCAGGCCCCTTATTGGTAGAATGCAGGCTTGGGAGTACAGTTCAGATCTTGCACTAGTAATGTTCATAGTCAACATAAACAATCAACCATGAGAAATTCAAAATATGAAAGTTTGCTGGTGATGATGCTTAGCTACTAGGCAAGATAAGAGACCTAGCAGATTCTTCTGCCCTTCAAATTGATCTAGATAAAATGTGCTTAGTGCCATGGGTTTAAATTGTCTGCAAATGACGTGAGCAATTGTGCATCTATTGAGTATGTCTAAATTGTGCATCACCTGTAGATGACAGGAGCCACACAAGAATTCAATTGTGGGGTAGGTTGGCATGTAAAATTATTAGTCATTTTATAATTTTAAGAACAAATGTTGATATTCAGCATTGCTCACATAAATAATGACTGATACAGAATCTGTATCGGCATACACGAAAATGGTGACATTTTAGGAAATGCATCTTTGTATTGACCCATTTTAAACAATACTTTATACTCTTGCAACAAATTACAAAGATATTGTTTCCATGGCTATTTGTACAGAATGTGGAATTAACAGTAAAGCCAGTTTCCTGTCTCCATGATGAGCCAGTGAGCATCAAAGTGAGTGGCCTCGGTCCAGATGAATATGTCACACTGCACGCATCCATGAACGACTCCAAAGGATTAAACTACATGTCTTATGCCCATTATAGGTTAGATTTGTATAAGCTGTTGCGTAGTTTCTAATGACTGCATATTTGTTATGCTGCTGTTGTGACACTTGGGTAATTAATGTACAATACTTTATTTTGAGTAAGCTTTTACAGTACTATATAAATATACCAGTCATGAATGGTCTTTGGCTTAATTCATTAGATACTGCTGGTACTGTACTAATGTATTTGCTGAGCAACTTACACTGGTGAATCTTGACTCCCAAAGTTCTTTTCCTAATATTGTTGGTATGGTATTTACGTGAATTGTTACGGTCTGTATGCCAGGTCTTCCATTTTCAGTACTGAAAAATTTTGCCAGTCTTCTGCTAAAATGTCATTCATGTAAAATGCTTTGCAGTGATAAGTCCACAAATTTATTTTAATGCAGTTTATGTAATTCTAGTACTGGACCGAGCTTTTAGAAATTCATTACTGGGGATGGGAGATGGTTTTTAAAGTGACATGATGCAACGGTTCAAATATTTTAATTTCCAACAGAGCGAACGTCGATGGACTTGTTGATTTGGACAAAATGGAATCTGTGGGTGGTCGTTACAGGGGAGTTTTCCCAATGGGGCTAATTGGCACCCTCATGCCAGCTCTTTGTGAAAATCAGTTTTTTCGTTTCACCAAAAAGGACATTGAATACCCAAATGTTGTAAGTATAATGCGTATTTTTAATAACTGACATTAAACCAGGCTACAGGACCCACTAGCCTGCAATATACTGTATAGTACTGAATCTGGCCTACATAACAAAATATATTGTTTATCAAGGTATTATGTAAAGATAACATTTGTATAAAATTTATTTCCAAACTGATACGCCATTCGTTTACCCTTTGTTCTTGGGTTGTAATTTGCTCGGTCAAATATTTGGAAATGTCAAATATGCCTCTTTGACAGACTGCAGCTCGGCATCAATCCTTGGCTGGACGAAGGAGATAAGTCAGTAGTTGCGGAATTAGCCACCTAGGGATAAGAATGGAAGGCTGGGGTATGATTTGGTATTGCCTTTATTAGCTCTTCTAAAGTTTGATTAGACACCTTGCATTTATTAGTATCTCGGACAGCTTTTTGTAATGTACTCTTAAAAGTACTGGAAATGTCTTGGTCAGGCCTTCATCTAATGAAGAGCATAATAAAGCAGGAAAAAGATCTTTCAGCTGAACTGAAAGATCAACAGAAATTAGTCACTTGATGAAATAAATATGGTCATGAGGGATACTAGCTAGCAAAGTCACACACTATGATAGGAAGAGATCCAGTCTAAAGTATTCCATTGGAGAAAAGGTAGTACTCACTTAAGTATGGTTAAAATACAGATGAAATTAAATTTGTTTAATGATGGTTGAACTGATCTGCTTCATTAAATATAACATCAAAGTGGTATGATCATTTGTTCTTGTAATGACGAAGTATAAACTATACCGACTTTTGGTAAAAACTCTACCAAAATTTATTTGTTATAATAGATGCAAAACGACTAAATTTAAACAAAATACTGTATAACAGTCATAATGCATAATGATCCACCCAATGATTGTATTGGACAGAGGTGGTGGAAATAAGAATTGGCAGTTTTTTTAAGTACGTTTATTACAGGTGACGGTGACAGTGTACCGGGGCCATTTGAGTGCAGAACAAGCGTCTTCCCCTGATACAGCCCAGCCCTGGGCTGCAGTGACTCATCTACGGCACTACATGGGGCTTGGGGTGCAACGCATTCCTGTGCGCTACGGAAAAGTTCGGGGTTGTCTCTTTCTACCACCGGGTGAGCTATGAATTTGTAATTCATGTACACGTATTGTTAATGTACAGGTCGACTGGTCTGCTTTAGTCTCGTTAATGTGTAAGAATTCTATATACGGTGTTAAGGTTGGCATCATGTTTTGGAAGTCCTCGCTTCATAGGAATATATTGGGTCAAATAAAGAGACTAATTAAATGCTTATTATTCTCGTGTTAAAAAGCAATCACTTTCTACCATATTTCACATTAATATTGCATGATGCTAATATTGCCAGAGATGTCGGAATAAGCAGCAATGTGTCTAGAGGGCTGGTAGATGCCACCTATGCACTTACCCATTATGGATGGTGTAGTAGGCACACAGAGAATTCTAGAAACATCAGTGGCCAGAAACCCTTCCCCCCCCCCCCCCCCTCATACATGCATGGGGGCATAACTGTCTGACCTCTTGCGTATTAATTTTTTTCTCCTTTCCCCAAAAAATCGCTATACTGTAAATTCTTTTTTATTCTTGTAACTAAAAGAAAAGTTTGTATTTTCACACTGGTGTATTGATAAGAGTCTAAGTTTGTAAATACAGTAATAATCTTTTTTCCTTTCAGGAGATGGACCCTTCCCAGGAGTGATCGATATGTATGGTACAGGTGGGGGCCTGATGGAGCACCGATCAGCCCAACTTGCTTCGCGGGGATTTGCATCACTAGCGCTAGCTTATTTTCATTATGACGACTTGCCAAAATACTTGGACGAATTGCATATTTCCTATTTTGAAGAAGCTGTAGAATTCATGTTAAAACATGACAAGGTGAGAATTTTCCTAATGGATTAATTGTTAAAACAAATACATCAAAAGGGGACTTGATAAATATAATCTAACAGGAGCTACAGACGACCCTCCAGTTTCAAAACCCGGTTTAATAGATTAGTAATACCCCATAATGACATTTACGTTATCTCGGTAGACGATACTTTAGATATTAAGGTTAGAGAATAGCTTCTGAGGCTCGTGGCTAGGTATGCTCTTCTGTTCCCAGTTTTTTAAAGTAATGCAGAGCCTCGGAACAGTTAGTGATATTTTCTACTTACTATTATTGGTCAGTTCCATGGTTTTGATAGGTGGGTTAAGCATGGTTTCAGGCTTCACCCTAACTGACTTAAGAGGCTGCTTTAAAGGCTTAAACCTTGAGGATCATTGTCCCATGTCTTCTAGCCATTTGGGGCCAGGCAATTGTGTATGCTCAAACACGTACAGTTTGTCATTGGGACCCTTTAGATTTGTTGCCCTGTACATTTTCTATTGTGGTAAGCTGTGAGGAGCTGCAGATGTTTAACCCAGAAAAATTTAATTATATTTAATGGTTAATTTTATGCAAAGTATCCTTGGGCATATAATTTAAGTTTGTTTCAAATAAGGCACTCTTCTTTTTTCGGACAGGTTCTAAAGCCACACCTGGGAAGCATTGGACTGAGTAAAGGTGCCGATCTGGTGCTGTCACTTGCCACGTACATTCCCGAGGTGAAGGCCGTGGTTTGGATTAATGGTTGTAATGCAAATGTTCAAGCAGAGCTTCATTTACATGATGAAACACTTCCTGCACTACAAATAGATGCTTCAAAAATTAAGGTCTGTATAAGTAAATGTCAGTTTAATGTCACTCTGGTAAATCAACATGATCATGGATGAGCATGATGGTAGAGATTAGAAATGGCTTTAACCTGGTGTGGGCAATGTGTAGTGCACACAGCTTGGTGCCTTCGGCTCCTAACTGATTAGACCCAAGTTTGATTTCCTGGCAGCAAGATATATTTGGGGACGTTTCATTATACTTGACTCTGTGCCCCTAACAGGAACTAGGTACCTGGGAGTTGGGCAACTATTGTTAGTTGCATCCTTGGGAATGTTGGTTAGTGGCTTTGTACATCTGAGCCCCCCCCCCCCCCCCTTGAACTAGGGTGGCCCTTGGTAACCCTTGACAGGCTTGCTGTCCCAGACAATGGGGAAACTTTAAAATTGGTCTCTTCATGACCCTGACTTGCCCTGTAAGGTGGGGACTTTGCAGCTCTATCAAAGTGCCCCTCTTTATCCCCATCTTTAATTACAGTGGACCTAAAGACAGGGCTCCGTTTAGTGGATTCTCTAGCACTGCAACCGCTCTTGATTTGTCAAGGAAAAATTGGATTTATCCTTGGTAAGTTAGAGGTTAAAATAACAGCATAGCATGTAGATTAACATTATCCAAAAAAAAACAACCTAACTTTATTCATAACTTACCAATAAAATACTGGTTGGATTAAGTGTAGAGCAGTTTAACTAACATTTGAAAGGTTAGGTCAGTCTTGGTTCCCTTCCCTCGGTATAAAGCATGCCCTTTGATGTGTACCAGCCCATCTAAGATTGACATTGTTTGGTGATTCAGGTCTAACATTCCCATAAACATTCAGGTTCTCCTGTATGGGGAAAACCTAGCTTCAAAAACGTTCATAAAAATTGCTTGCATTGTTGTCTTCTACTAGTTTGTGCCATACTTTTACTTTACAGAGGTCTACTGCTAGTTGTGGTTCATGCCAGCCCTTTCTTCCCTTTGACAGGGCAGTGGGTGGGTGGGTGGCTCGCCTGGTTTACCCCAACTTCCGATCCTATGATTTGAGACCTTTTTACACGGCCTGCTGTGAAGTTGGTCGGTCCTTCATCCCTTTCCAGGGGGTATGATTCTATCCCCTCCCCTGCATTGAGTCATTGCAGAGTAAGTAGCTTCTAGCATAGCCGGAACAACTGCCTCTTCACTTGGTGTCTCGTTTCTTCCAGTTCCGAAATGACAGAGCTCGGTTTCATCCTTGCTTTCTTGGGTATGAAAAAGTGCATCCCTACCCCAGTTTTTCTTATTACTGGCCCAGGTTCATCTGTAATTGGAGACAGGGTCCTGGATTGTTTTGTTTTGAGGATTCTTGCTGGCATGTCCTTGTAAATCGGTTTCAGGGATCGGTTATGATTTCTAGCGAGGTGTCGGTCCTACTGCTTCGTGCATCTCTTGTTTGAATCTGGCTTCTCGTGTTTTTTTTTTTTTACAGGATGGCATGGATCATGGTTACTAGGCTTCATTTATTGGAGTTTTCTTGTCTACCTTGATAAGCAGTCGGTCTGCATGTTTGCTTGCCAGGGATCTGGTTACTTCCCAGCTCACTAGGTTCGGGTTCCTGTGAACTGGCAGAAGTCCTAGTTGGTGCCATCCCAGGTTCGGACTTGACTAAGCCTCAAGTGGAGTTTTCTGTTGGCGTAGCTTTCCCTTCCTTCACCCTCTTTGTTCCTGCTGCAGTGCCATTGCCAACATGGGTGTTTAGGCAGCCCCAGATGACTTTGGGGTTGCTAGTGATTGCTCGGGAGTATGAACTTCAAGAGTGGTTTACATTCAGCAGGTTGTGGCTTCAGCTGTCTTGGTTTTCCCGGTTTGGCCCCTGACTGCCCTGTATTGGGTGCTACTTAACCAGTGCTCCCATTGGAGCTGGATGTTGCAGGAAGTTGATCTATTAACTTCTCGGGTTTGGTTCTGCGCTGTTCACGGTTCCATCCCATCGCCAGTGTGAACCATTAACACCACTACCTTTCGATGACTCGGATATTTGGGTACCCAAATGTGGATCTCTTGCTTCGGCTTGTCATTGGCGCCTTCCTCTTAATGTGGCTCTGGTGGGCATCTGTACCCCCATTTCCCCTGGTCCTGCTGTTCTAGATCCTGGATAGGTTGGAGTCCTACCAGAGAAAGGTGGTTGTTCTGGCTTGCACCTGGGCATTGTCCACAGCTCTGCCTCTTTCAGATCTGGCCAGTGACAGACGTCACTGGTTAGACCTTCTGCTGCTCTGGTCTAGTTTTCTGGGGTCGCTCTTCTGTTGGGAATTCTCTTCGTACAGAGGTTTTTCTGTTGGCGCTTGATTTCAGTTGTGAAGTAGAGGAGCTTAAAGCTCTTCTCCAAAGGCATGGTTGTGTACTTCTGGCCCTGGTAGGCATTTCATTCATCTGCAGCCATCTTTCTGGTTAATGTTGCGTTGGCAACCTTCTGGAGGGACCCTTTGATTATTGATAGATGGTTGGTTCAGCCCAGGGTGCACCATGTGCCATGCCTTGGGACAGGTCTCTGCCTTGGTGGTGGTGTTTGGGTTTAGTTTATCTCGTTTCATCTGGTGGAGCTCCGGTGGCTTCAGATTCTCTGCATTCTTCCGAGGCATAGATTGGTGGTTAATTGCTTTAGAACTGATATAGAAGGCTGTATGGGTAGTGCTAACTCCTCCTCCTAACCTCTACTCAACTGATAGAGGATAGTGCTAACGTGCTCGTGCTCATTTGAATTCGATCTGCTTGCATTGCTGGATGAATTTGTTTGGCAGTTTTGAGGCTTGTCTGAATACAGTAGTCTGTACTGGTTCACTCTTTCCAGGTGCTTTCCCAGTGTGGAGGTAGTGGTCTGCTCTGTGCCTCTAAGGGGGTCAGGTTCTAGCTCTGGTCCCCTGTAGACCAAACACAACTCCACAGCCGATGTGACCCAGTAGTGGGGAGTTATCTCGGCAACATAGCTTCAGGGAGCCACCGGGGCTTGGCCAGAAATAGAAGTTTCATTGCATTAAATACTGGATTTTTATAACCCTATTTTAGACATGACACTATATTAAGTCAATCTATTTTGCCCAGATTGCAGGTGTTGTAAATTGTTCTGAAGCTTTGGTAGACCCACAAGAATATCCAAACACTATCATTCCAATAGAGGAAGCAGATGCACACTTTCTCTTTATCGTTGGATGTGAAGACCAAAATTGGGACAGCGAGAAACATGCAGATCAGGCAGTAGAACGCCTGAGAAGAGCTCGCCGCTACAATTATGAGGTATGCATTTTCACTACAGGTAATTGAAAAGGTGGTGCATAATAATTAACCCTTTAACTATAGAAAGTTTGCATTTGATTAGGACCATCTAAATCGGAAAAGTCGTAGTTGTTGGTCTCGCTCCCCCCCCCCCCCCCCCCCTCCAAACATCATAACGAATGACCAAATGTGTTGCAAATGAGGATGTAAGTTTGAAGGAGAGTAATTGCAGCCATTTGTTTGGGACAGTAGAAAATATAATTGTGCACAGCAAGTATTAAAAAAATAAAATACAGTAGCACCCTCAAAATTCCCCCATACTTAAGTAAATCACTTGATTTCTTGTATACGACCAAGATATTATTTTTACCTGAAGGTTACAATTTCTCTAGTGGCCTGAACAGGAAGCCAGTAGTTTGTCATCTCGTCTCCCCCCCCCCCCCCTCCCCCCTCCTGTCAAGTTTCCACACCTTAAATTAAGGCCCTCTGCACTAGTTACATTCCTCAAGAGGCATTTCTTATTTAGGTTTCTATTCATTCCTTCCCCACTCTGTGACCCTTGACAGAGGATAGGCAGGCCAGGGCCAGTGGTCTGGTATTACAAATAAAAAGGTATGCACTCTTGAAGATAACCTATCCCCCCCCTAGGCTGCCTTCTACACTTGGTGGGAACTACTCTGGTTGGTTATGCATTGGCCCTGGTTACTTATTTCACAGGCACTTAATAGAATGCTACTCTCCTTACTCTGAACTGCATTGTCCCTCTCAGTTGTGCACCTCTGAGTGTCCCTATTTACAAGACAATCATTTTTGCTATTGTGAAATTCAGTTTTTCAGATTTTACAATGAAAATTCTACAAATTTCCACTTTTTCAAAGGGAATTGGAACAAATCATTAATCCAGTTCATACCAGGGTGTGTTTGTGTGTGTGTGTGTGTGTGTGTTGTAAAAATATATTTTGGTGAATGAATTGCTAGTAAAATTAATTGGTACATTGAAAAAAAAAGCCATGAATGTAAGCTTTCTTCCCGGTAGGTTCTCCGATATCCTCGTACAGGCCACCTGCTAGAACCACCCTACTCGCCATTCTGCTATGCATCCTACCACAAGCTTTACGAAAACGTTTTGTTGTGGGGCGGGATTGCGAACTTCCACGTGGAAGCTCAAGCAAAAGCCTGGAAGGCAACTCTTGCCTTCCTCCATAAACATCTTGATGCACCTAAAGAAAAACTCTGAATACAATAGATTAATGCCTTGAACTGCAAGAAATTTGTTGACATGAAAACTGGACCTACCAGGCAGTGTATTGTTGAAATGTTATTTATATACTGTATAAAATTTAAATGTTAAACTGCACTAGTAATTTCATTGATCAACACAACCTTCGTTTCATAATTAACTTGTATAGTGGTGCTCGTATTGTGGTAAAACGGTACATACAGTAATTGACCCTTATAAGTCCATGAAATGCTTACTAAATTACTAGTAGCCACTCCTCACAATAAGTGCTTCCTATATTGCTGGTGGCTATTATCCATGACTAGTTTTAATCTTGCCACCAGAATGAATAGACGGTGGTAAATGGCTTTGGCTATACCCTCTTGAGTGACTGCACTTGACCACTGCACTGCACATAGTGCTTAACTCTTGATTGGTGGTGCACATAGCCTTGAGGCACTTCTAGATATATAAAGATTCAAAATTTTCATAGCTCATATTTGCTGTCTGAAGCCTCCAGCAACCATTGCACAGCTTGAGAAAAAATACTGGGCCCCCACAATTTCCTTCTAGGTGCAAAGTTAAAAAATAGAGCACCATGTCTGTCGCATCACCACCCAGTGTCGGAGCACGCAGGATAGTCATAATACAAAATCTCCCGAAGTGTCAGCCTACTGTGGTGAGGGGGCTTGCATACGACTCCCTGGGGCCAGTGAAGGTTGCCTTGGCTCCCTTCCCAGGTGTTGTATGTGGCAAGGTACATGCGTTGATCTTGTTCAGGTTAATGGGCCTTCCGTTGGAGAGGGCTGCCCTTGGTGGATGATTGGGTGTCCAGGCCTGGGCAAAAGGTGGGGAGGGGGGGGGGGGAGAGATCTTTGCACAAGTGTAGGAGAATGTTAGTGGCAGTATGTTTCTCCTGTTAAAAAGTGCGAACACTGCTGGGGACGACGCACCCTGTCCCCCACTTGGAGGGGGGGGGGCTCCCTAGGAACGGTGCTTGGCCTCCTTAGCTGCTCTGGTAGATGGTTTTCCTTGGCTTTGAGACCCAGACTTTTGATGTTAATGCTGTATGGATACCGAACTAACTTGATCAGGTTTGTGGGGGTGAGCAACCAGACCTCCGAGTTGGCCGGTGATGGAAGATCGGGCTCTGGAGCCCCGGCTATATTGGAGTCCAGACCAGGCTCCTTTGTTGACTCTCCCAACTTCCATAGCAGGGTTGAGCCACAAGCCACCAGTGGCAACGACCTCATTGCCTGGAGTAGCTCCATCTCTTGATGTGACAACGGTGCCTTTTAACCCTCATACTAGGGAAGCTCAATGCCGTACAATTCTCGCTCAAATGCACCCGATTCTTTCCAACTCGTTAATTATTGGGCATTTGGTGCTGTTCTGTTGGGCATTTGCTGCTTTTCTGTTAATACGTGTGCTATGACCTTTACTCAGAAGCGGGTCGTTCATTCCCCCTCGTCGCTTTAAAGCATCCTCTTTAGACAAGAGGATTACCAAACTTCTGGGGTTAATATTGGACACTAGGTCTTGGTTGCCCCCAATATATCTTGCCTCAGAGCTTGAATGTTCTAGGGCCCTTAACTTAAGGTCTTGTCCCATACTTCTTGGAGCTGATAGATGTGCACCCTTTAGTTACATTCCTCTCGTACTGTCTAAATTTTATTATGGCTGTCCTGCTTGCTTCTCTTTTTAGACTGCCATTTTGATGCTCCATGCCATATTGGGTTACGCCTTTGTTCTGGTGCCTATCGTTGAACTTTTACCCCCCGAGCCTGTATGTTGAAACTGGCATCCTGTCTCTACAGAATTGTCGCGATCGCTGTTGTGGGGATCGCACAAGATAGACAACACCTTTACTATCGCTTTAGTCATAACTTGACCATTACCCCCTAATGCTGGCCCTATTTTCTTTCGCCACCTCCCTTTCTGTTCAATTGTCTTGCTTGGAAAATTCAATTGGTTTGTTACCAATATTTCTCATTGTCATTCCACCCTTGGTCCCCATTGTGGGTCCCCATTCTTAAATTTTGTATAACCTTGACCCACATGGAAAGTCTCTTGCTCAATTTCTGTCTTCACAGATGGGGTCTAAGTCTGCAGACAGTGTAGGCTACTCCATTGTATTTTCTGACCACACCCAAGTGTCGCCTGCCCCTAGAGACTAGCATCTTCACTGCATAACTTTTTGCAATTTTGTATGTTCTGTCAATCTTTTGTTGTTTGACTCTTGCGGTGTCCTCGTGGCACTAGTCCTTTAATCCGCTCCATCCTGTAATAGTGGAAATTACACATTGGCTGTTTCTTATCTCCAGCAGATTTAAGACTAGTTTTGCTGGGTTCCCAGCCATATTGGCGTTGACCTGAAGAGCGTGTGAATGCTGCCACTTAGAAAGCTGTCCGCACTTGTCCCATTTTCTGCAAAGGTGTTACTTATTTTGACTTATAACTAGTCATTCATTCCTCAATCTACCCGTTGGAAGGGTCATTTTTCTTGTTACAGTACTGGTAACAAACTGCGTGCTCTTAAGGATAGTGTCCCCGTGGCCTTCCTCCTATCATAACAAGCAGTAGGGAAACGGCTGACGAGGTTACATATTGGCCATGCTCATTTAACTCGCGGGCACTTGCTGGGAGTGCTGCCCTGCTCCTTATTATGTGCTCCTATCTAAGACTGAGGAAGACCGGCACTTGGCTGAAAGGCACTGGGACCTGCCATGGCTGACTAATGATCAGGAAGCCCTACAGCAGACATGTTTGTCACATCAGTGAACAGAACTGATGGTTTTAGCCAGTGGACAGTGCAAACTCTGCCATCTTCCCACCTCCAAACAAGTGGAAGATGGTGGGTAAAAAGAGCACACGCTTGTTTTGAGTTTTACATAGTCGATAGGGAGTTTGTTTTGGTATGTGTTGATGCCTTGGTTTTTGAACCCAGTATTGGTTTGCTTATTTTCTGGCTGCCTTTGGTGGTGGTGGTGTCCCTGCGCCTCTTGTGAGAGGCAGGAAGCAATATTAACTTTACTGTATAATAAACTGTAATACTGACTCAATATTTGGACATTACTTATTTGCAAAATATATTTTTAATTGTATTATGTTTTATTGTCAAACTTTTCAGCTATTATAGTACACTTCCTTAACCTTAATTTACATACATAATTATCTTTACAGATAGGTGGAGTATATACTGTATGATAGTAGGAAAGTATGTTTTTACTAGTAACATATTCCTTCTGTTGGTATTCTGAATGCAGTAAAATATAAACCCTGAATTAAACCTCTTGACAAGTATCCATCACAATTCTAACTTTAATGATATTAAGTATTATACAGCAATCGTTACCAACAATGTATTAGCAAATTACCATGATGTATCATTAACTGAAATGTAAGATCTTGAGCAAACATGATTGTTCCTTAATGCACTGAACAACTTTTGTATAGTATTAAGATATGGTTGAAGGATGACTTTACCAAAATATTTAACATGCCCAACTACTCTGCTATCCACAACTGTAGACTTGACCAGATGCTGCAATTTGTTAGGAGCTATTGTGCTCCAAAGTTATCAAAACTAAGGGTTTTGCAGAGTATATTTTCCTAGTTCAATCTCTTAAGCTTTGTATACAAACTTACCAAGAGTGGGTCTACATAATTTCAAATGGATGAAACTGAATTAAATGCTAGCCTCAGAAATTTAATATTAAATAACAAACTTAAGAATTTACTAATAAGAAATTTAAATATTGACCTGCCAGCCTGATAACCCACTAATTGCTAGCTTCCTCAGCTGTATGAACTCTCATGTTCTTATCCATGGTTATTAAACCGCTGAAAAGAGTGCAATTGCCCTTGTCTACATTTAGAAACGCATCACTGTACAAACCTCTGGAATAATCAATGACGGTACAATTGGCCACTCCCCTATATTCTAACCAGCATTAGTAAACTGTCACTTAGAAATAATGAAGATTAGCTTTAAACTGCATAATGAAGCTTCCATGTGCAACTTTGTTACTGCTAACGTGACCCGAGACGGAACTCGGTAATATGGCAAACTTCAATCATGGTGTATAAACGTTTCTTCACAAAACCCCTAAACATGGAATAGAGTATGAAAAGCTAACTATAGAAGTCACAACTAAGAGGATTGACAAGCTCTGGCTCACTAAAGGAATACTGTACGTGAATCAATCAATAAAAAACATGAAACTATATATAAAATATACAGTACTATAATTCACTTTCCAGAGACTTAAGTTGTACCCACTCGGGAACCAGAATACCTACTAAAGAGAAGAGGTTAACTTGACCACACCCAAGTCTGACCACATTGAAGTGACATTGTGGAGCCGAGGGGAGGACACCTGACCCAAAACTCTAGTCTAACAGAGGGAAATGGGGAGGAGGGGGGGGAGGAAGGGAAGGGTGGAAAAAAATTCCACTTAAGACTCGGAAATTGCCTGGTTAGCCCTTGAATTATGGGAAGAGGATCTGGTAAAACAGGCCAGGCATTCCCCATTAGTGCCATCAAAGGAACGAACTAGTGCAAAGCTCAATTCCCCCCAAGTAGTCAGTCGTACTGTGACACGTTGTGATGTTGAGCAGAAGCAGCCCGAGAATCTAGCTCCTCCACAGGCCTACCCCGACCAACAGCAGACGAGATCTCCAACCCTATCGGATTGCCTCCGAGCAAAAGGGACAACCTCTCCATAAAAGAACCAGATTGATGGACAGAAAGCCTCAGCAGTAGCTGAGAAGACAGCAGAAACGGCCTCCTCAAGAAAGAGAAGCAAAAATGGAGGCAGACAAAAGGAGCAAAGACCATGTAAAATATTACTGGGCCAGCATGGCCCACCAGCACAAGACGGGTAAGTGAAAAGCCATCACTGCCTTCCGAGAAGTGGGGGCAAGCAACTTGGTAAGTGCCACTGAAGCCAGAATTGCAGGCAACAAGGCAGCTGCACTAGGAACAGTTGCCAGAGCATCCAAGGCCACCAGAGCTACTCGGAGAATGAATCAACAACCGCCCAAACATGCAAAATGGTCACCAAGTGGGTATGGGCCCTGTGGCCCTCTGCAGTAAGAGCCAGCTGGGTATAGAGCCCCCACATCACTGGGGAGCACTGGAGCAAGCTCTAGGTCCTAAAGCGGTGCAAAAGCAGCCCCACTCGGGAACACCTGAAAGATGGAATTTGCTTCCCATCAATTTAGCGTCTAGGCTTGGCAGAAGCCGTGCCAAGCCCCCAAGGGAAGGCAATTGTCAGCAAGTTGGAATGAAGTGAGGACCTCGTACTAAAGTCAAAGTGTAATTGGACAAGGCCCTGAAAGAGGCAAAGTCCATAAGAGAAGCAAGGTTCTGATCCTAGAATAGGAACTAAAAAATGTCTTCCTGCTCAGAAGCAAGGTAAAGACAGGACATTAATCTCTGGGATAAACTACGTCTCCAAGGAACCGAATAGCACATGAAGGTGCAGCTGGAGGACAAAGGAGGTGCACAAAGCAGTCTAGCTCATACATAGAGGGGGTATAGGATAAATCCTTCCCCCTGGAGCAAAAATTAACCCTCTTCAGATAGAACCAAAGTCAGAGAAATTGAAGGGCATCCCCTGACCCCTCCCCTCCTGCTTCTCCAAGACCCGGGGGTCAGCCATGATGACTGGAGCCGAATCATGTTCCACAACTGATGCCTGAGACAGGAAAGCATTGTCCCATAGAAGTAATTGCCACCAACTTGGCAGGCAGTATGGCAGAGACAAAGAATGATTATTAACATGTAACAGAGCGAATGAACACCCTTCAAACTTACAAGTAGTGTGTGTGTGTGGGCTTCATTATGAGAAACACTGGTTAATACATTATGAGCAACTCTGCAGACCTGCTGGGAAGTTAAAAAGCCTGAAGGAGTGTAACTAAGACCACCCAGGTCTTTGAGGGACACTGGCCAAATACAGCCTACAGTATGAATATGGCTACAAAGAGCATAAGAGTGTGCGGTATGAACACGCGGGCAGCCTCTAAAGCACCCTAAACGTCCCCAACCACACGGCCACGCACAGGTGTTGGAGACTCTTGTATTGCCTATGTCAAGGCACTCCGACCTAGTGGTCTGGCGCCTCAGGAGTGAACTCAAACACTCCCATAAAAGTTACTGTGCCTTGGCAATGCTAAATGCCTAAGGAAGGATTGGCTTAAAAATGTGCAGCTTGTAGCGAAGATTAGACAAAATCCATGCAACAAGTGAGGCTTGTAAATGCGTGCATGTAAAGTGAATACTAAAGGTTAGAAATGATAGTCCAATGATTTCCCATAGAACATGGTCCAAAGAGTGGTTTACACTTATCTTGGAAAAGTGAAACTGGTAATGGCCTAGTGCCTTGGAAGGCCTGATTGCTTAGACATCTGTGACAGGATTTGCCAGTTGTTGGGGGGGCAGAAGCCTGGAACTCCCGGGACACAACCTGTTGGCGGCCATTTACTCTAGTGGGCTCAAGCTAGATTTGAGTGAAATATTTGGGTTTTAATGAATTTTGTGTAATCGTTTAGCTGTTTTGGTTTTATGTGAATCTTGTTTGTTTTGCCTCACTTAATTTCTGAATGTTTTCGTAGTGCGGGTGATCGTAATAATTCCCAGCTTCCCGTACCTCTGTAGGGGGGGTGGGCAAGGTTCTGGCTCTGGTCCACTATAGACCAAACGGGACTCCTGTGCCTGATTTGACTCAGTACATGAAAGCTTTCTCGACATATCTTAGAAAAGTAAATTTCAGTTTACTGTCCATGGATTACTAGCGGGTTGACATATTTATAGTATATTACTGTATATTATACAAATATCAGTTGTAAATACAAAATATCAAGCTGTTTCACTTTTACAGGTCCACAAGTATCCAGATACTGGCCATCTTATTGAACCACCATATCAACCGTTCAGTTCAGCAACATACCATCGGATGCTGGGCATGCCGATGCTGTGGGGAGGTTCACTGGTTCCACACTTAAGAGCACAAGAACATGCCTGGACAACAACAGTAAATTTTCTTCACAAATTTGTCCACTAACGAAAACTGAGCAAGTGCATAATGTTCTGCATAATGGTATTAAGAAGCCGCCTGTGTACAGTACAAGGTTAGTGGTACATTAATGCTATACTTTCACGAGAGTGAAAGGTGCCATATTTCCCCATGAATGGTGCTTTGCTTTGGGTATACCAACATGCCTACACCAACAGAGGCATGCCTTTTACTGCGAGGGTGACTAATTTACAGGAGTCTCACTTGGTTCTCATTTCCAACGTCTTCCCCTTGTTTTGTTCCTGCTTTGCCCTCACGTGGAAGGTCCCACTGGTGAAATATTGCATGACCCCATCCCACATAGTGAAGGATTCTACCCCCATTGTATGTTTAAGAAGCCTTTTCCTTGAACGTTTCTCTTCTCATTCTGATTTTTTTTGCTGTGTTCATTGATGGGGTCTAAGTGTACCGAGAGTGTAGGCTACTGTTGTTTTCCCTCACCAGACCTACATGTACTGTCTACCCCTGGAGGCTAGCGTCTTCTTGCTTTATGCTATTTTGTATGTTCTTCGATAGCTGTTTTATGTCATTGCTGTTGATCAAATGCTGGAGTCTTTTTAACCCTTTGTATCGTGTAACCGAAATTCAATATTGGCCGTTTCTTATTTTTGGCAGGTGTAAGTCGAATTTTGCTGGGTTACAAGTCATAGTGAGACCTTTCCCTCGAATGATCTTGCTGATGCCACCAATAAGGAGGCAATTCATTGTGTATATACTGGTAATACTTTGAAGAGTTGTGGACCTCTGATGCTCACACTGTGATCTCTTATAATGTTAATGAAATTTCCCTACATTTCGTTGGATTTATTTTACACTTTCTACCATTTCTCTCGCATCAGTATGTTGTTGCTTTCTTGTGTAGGGTTGGAACCTGATTCTTCCAGTATTGTTAATATTCATGTAATGAAATATTGGGGGGGGGGGAGGGGTTTCCCAGTATTTCCCAGGTCTGTCGGTCTCCCATCTCTCCATCCATCCATCTCTTCATTAATCAATCCATTCATCTCCATCCATCTACTGTCTGTCTGTCTTTGTATCCATATCTTTTTGTCTCGTAATATAATTGTGCAATGTCGCCAGTGAGAGGAGCTTAGTGGTATGAAATCCTAACAAAGGATCGTAATCCCTACTCTGATAAAGGGTCATGGCTTGAGAAACCTTCGTGAAGGTGTGGAGGAATCGTCTGTTTTATGCCAATACAGGCAAATTATTGACAGCATAAAATTTCTGTTAATGTTCTTGAGATCAGTGAATAATGGAACATATTATTACAAGAAAAAATTAGTTTTAAAAGTTTGTTGAAAATGTTCAACTGTGTAGCTGGCAGGGAGTGCCCAAAAATTGTGCTGGGGGTCTGAATGTGACCCTGGCATGCAGTTCTCTTTTGAATTTTAGCCACTGGGACCACCCTATGTTCATCTCATACCCCAGACCATTCCATCTGCCAATTTTGATGAGGCGAGCTCCAACAGCATGGTCTCCAAGTTCGAACACAGACAGACTGTCACTTACATGTGGGGAGGGGGAAAGGGTTAGAGTACATGTAGGGGAGTACAGTGCACATGTGGGGGGGTGTACAGTATACATGTGTGGGGGGGGTACAGTGCACATGTGGGGGGTACAGTGTACATGTAGGGGGTGGTTCTCTTTTGTTACAATATTCCAGCATTGATAATGAACTCTCAATCTTTTGTACATCTGCGTCTCTAGTCCATACTTGTCTGTTCCTATTTATATTGCAGTAGTGAACCATATAACTTATCATATGGGTGGTAGTGGACCCTGTACACATCATGTGACTAGTTGTGCACCCTATACCCATCCTATGGGCGGTAGTGAAGGTTGCTAGTGTCTAACAAAGGCTTAATGAACAGCATTTGCATAACTTTAAAAAAAAAAGTTAAATATTATTTTTTAAACCTAACATTCCCAATGTTAACTTTCTCTTGTCCTCAGGTCCAGCCAACTACAGTCAGACACGAGAAAGTTACAAGGACAGTCTGTACTTTGATCTTCATCATCTGGATTCTACACCTGACAATTTCTCCCTCCATAAAGACCTTGTTGATTCGGTGGATGCCTCTTGTTACTTTGAACCCCACCCGTCTCGGTACACATGTCGTCACTGCTCCTTCACCGGATGCAGCTGCCCGTTTAGCTGATTGGTCCTGTATTGGGGAGACTCTTGTTCGGGTCTCCAAAAACGCTTGGTTAAATGCCAGTGTTGGTACTGTTCTCCTCCTGCACCATGTTGCAACTGGTGTTAGGGACCTCAAAGACTGCCATGTGGATATTAAACATATCCTCGAAGCCCAAGGCCATCCTGTTCTTCAGGTGGACACGTTCACTCGACCCCCTCGTGGTCGTCGCCATCAGCCCCTTTGAGTTGTGAAAATCACCTTCGATAGTAGGATCCTTCTACCCTCTATCATTCTTGCTGGTGTCAGGTGCTCTCTTCAGGAGTACATCCCCTCTCCTAGACTTTGTAATACAGTAAGTGCTGGAAGTTCAGGCATGGTGCCCTCAAATGCACAAGTACTGTGACTATGCCCCTTGTGTGGGGACGAAGGTCCCTCTAAGACGGTGCTCTTTTCCCCAGGCTTGCTGCCTGATTTGCGGTGAGGCCCACCCTACCTTCTCCCGTGCGTGTAGTCATTACAAACTTGAAGCCATCCTCAACCTGAAACACTGGGATAGTTTGTCTTTTCCTGAAGCGAGACGCCAAATTTGCTGTCTTCCCCCTTTCACTGGCGTATCTTATGCTCACGTGTTGTGTTCTACCTCTCCTCCTCCTTCCCACCTTACTCAGTCTCGCAATTGTTTTCAGGCCTTAGACCCAGATATGCCCACCTCTTCCGCCCCTGTTCCTTTCGGTTCTGTCTCAACGGGTCCTCCTCCTGGTTCTCAATCTGGAGTTTCCCCCCTTCTGCCATGTCTCCTTTCCCATCTCCCTCCTGATCCTTCTTCCCAACCCTCCCCACAGTCTCAGGCCCTCTACGCCACCTGTCTGTCCAGGCTGTTGTCCATCATCCTCCCAGCAATCTTAATGTTGTTCGCTTCCGTTCTTCTCCTATTGAGACTGTTGCCAGTATGTTGTTGCTGGAATGCCCGAGTCAGAAACGTAAGCCTGGCTCCTCTCCTTCCTCCTCCCCGGCAGGTAAGAACGCATCGCTTTCTTCCTTGCCCCCCCCCCCCCCCTCCAACCTCTTGACTATCGCTTTATCCTCTCCCATTTCGGTTGTCAGGCCCCCTGTCTCCGCTATGGAGGTTTCTTTTGCTATTCTTTACCTCCCCCCCTGGTTCTCATCTTCCTCGATGCTTCCTTCTTCATAAGCCCGTTCTTGAATCTCATCCCTTAGATTTCCACACTCATTTCCGCCACCTATATTTACTGAGATACAGCCAACTCAAATATCAGACTTATCGTGTTTTCTCAATATATTATTATGGAAAATTAGTTGAAAAACATGTAATAATAATTATAATGAGTTAAATAAAAAATGGGTATTAAGAATAAAGTCATTTTAATATTCTTTATTTACTTTTTAGATTTAGAGATTCTTTTTAGAAGAGATTATTTCGAATGATACTTATATGGGTATATATATGGTACTTATAATGGCATATGTTTGGTACTTATAAAGGCATGTGTATGGTACTTATAATGTCATATGTATGGTACTTATGACATATGTTTGGTACTTATAATGACATATGTATGGTACTTATAATGGCATACGTATAATACTTATAATGACATGTATGTATTCATGTTAATTTATGCCAGGGGGGAGGGGGGGACAACAAAGGGGGGAGGTGGGGAGGATCCTCACCATACAGCTCACCTTCATGACACGAAGCTGTACTGTATACCAAAAGTGAGGTAAAACACTTAAGTGCTTTTTGATTGATTGATTAAGATTAAGTCACCCAAGAGGTGGCACGGGCATGAATAGACAACACACAAACACAACAACCCAAAGTTCCTGACACGACACTGGATGATATTAAATTATTGCTTTCACTTGACTTAAGATATTACTCGTTAATGCCAAATTAAGTGATTTTAACTTGTTGAGATATGAACATCTATGCTTTATAATAACTATTACCATCCAGGATGACATTGTTCAGAATATTATTCTACAAAAGTGTCGTCCTCGACAATCGCCACGTGACGCCGGACGGGTCCTCGAGGCTCCTCTCGTCTTCAGAACAAAACTTCCCGTCACCTTCCTCGCTCTTCCTGTTTCCGTCTCCCCAAGGTACTCCTCGAGCGCCTGGAGTATAAGTCTCAAGACGAGTCTTATAGGATGTCAGACGGTTCCCAGCTCCTTCCTACATGCCCTCTACAGCTCCAGCCTCTTCAGTTCTGCCTGTTAAAGCTGTATGTTTACCTGGAGATTTATAAGGTTATAACTGTCTTATGGTAACCTCCACCTCAAACGACCACAGCCAGACAGGAAGGCAACGAAGACCTTCTCGGGGCACTAAAGAACATCTACAATGATGAGATAATATAACACAACATTGCCTCTCACCTCATCAAATCTGTCATGTGACACCAGCCTCTGATATTGATGCCTCTCGTCGATCTTGCCTCTCGAGTCTTCCTACTTGAGAACCTGTACACTTTACTTTGATACCTTCAACACTGCCAGTGTATCCTCACGATGGATACACTGGCTAGGGCTAGTTGTGGTTAGGGTCCACAACTAGTCACTCGATAGGTATGGGGTCCACTATCACCCGTAGGATGGGTTATGGGGTCCACTACCACTTGCAGGATGTGTATGGGATCCACTACCACCCATAGGATGTTAATGGGGTCCACAACCAATTGTTGGGCGAGTATGTGGCCCACTACCACCCACAGGATGGGTGTGGGGTCCAATACCGCCTACTTGTGCGAGGTAGTGCACCCCATACCAATCCTTTGGATGGTAGTGGACCCCATACTCATCCAATGGGTGGTTGAATGCCTCATACCCATCCTACTGGTGGTAGTGGACCCCTTACCCATCTTGTGGATGGTAGCGGACCCCACACCCATCCAGTGGGCGGTAGTGGACCTCATACCCATCCTGTGGTAATGAACCCTATACCCATCCAGTGGGTGGTAGTGAACCCCCATGCCCATCCAATAGGTGGTAGTGGACACCATACATATCCTTGTGGGTGGTAGTGAACCTCATAAACATCGTGTGACTTCTTGTAGACCCTTTATCTATCCTATTTGCAGTAGTGTAACAAATAGATATTCCAACGTCACATTGTTTTCTGTTGACGTTCCTACAATCCATTCTTTACCAAGATTTCTCTTAAGTGCTAACCTTTAACAAGATGCACTGTAGAATAGTGTATTAAAACATGGGTTAAGACATTAGTTGACACAGAATGGAGACATTATAACTATTAACTATTTTAGTAGAGTAAACTATTTCAGTAAAGAGAGCATTCATCTGTCGGCAGCTATCATCTTCGCTGATGACTTCACTACAATCTTAACTAATAATTCTCAAAATCATCCAAAATAATCAAATAAGGCACCATAGGTGAGAGCTGTATACACCATAGGTGAACCATAAATCTCAATTAATAATTTATTACTAATAATAATTATTATTAATTATTTAACTTTGCCTCAAGTCAACTAGATTTTCTTTATTTCTGGGAATATTGGTGCCCCTCAGGCTGCTCAGAGGCAATCAAAGATGGTAATCAATTCCCTCCTTATGAGCAAATTATTTAACTAAATTTGGAGCACTCTGTGCTCAGTCCCACAAGGTCTCCATGCTGTCCTCTGTGCTCAGTCCCACAAGGTCTCCGTGCCGTGCTCAGTCCCACAAGGTCTCCGTACCGTCCTTTGTGCTCAGTCCCACAGGGTCTCCATGCTGTCCTAATATTAATATTATTAATATTTTTTCACATATATTACCCAATACCCATCGGCTGTTTGAGGGTATGGTACAGAGTACACGTGGTGGTACAGGGGGCACTGGTGGTACAGAGCGCTTATATTCACCTAGTTGTGCTTGCGGGGGTTGAGCTCTGCTCTTTCGGCCCGCCTCGCGACAGTCTCAGACAATCAACTTATCAATCATTTTTTTTCACACACATACACGCCCCCAGGAAGCAGCCCGTAACAACTGTAACTCCCAGGTACCTATTTACTGATAGGTAACGGGGCATCAGGGTGAAAGAAACTGCCCATTTGTTTCCGGGGATCGAATCCCAGTCCACAGGACTACGTATCCAGCATGCTGTCCACTCAACCACCGGCCCCTTCCATGTGGCGGGGGATACCGGGTACATGTGCTGGTAGTATTGAACCCATTACCCTTATTGTAGGGTGTATTGGTCTCTATTCCCATCCCATGGGGGTTGTGGACCCCTTAACCATCCTGTGAAGGGTATTGGTTCCCATACCCAGTAGTACAGTCGGATTCATTCTTAACGCACAATCGGTAATTCCTGGTTTGAATCCTGGACGGGACATGAATGGTTGGGCACATTTCCTTTCAGCTAATGCCTCTGTTCACCTAGTGGTGAATAGGTATTCAGGAGTTAGTCAGCTTGGGGCCTGACAGCTGAGTAGATAGCGCTTGGGATTCGTAGTTCTGAGGTTCTGGGTTCGATCCCCGGTGGCGGCGGAAACAAATGGGCAGTTTTTTCACCCTGATGCCGCTGTTCACCTAGCAGTAAATAGGTACCTGGGAGTTATCTTGAGATGATTTCTGGGCTTTGTGTCCCCGCGGCCCGGTCCTTGACCAGGCCTCCACCCCCAGGAAGCAGCCCGTGACAGCTGACACCCAGGTACCTATTTTACTGCTAGGTAACAGGGGCATAGGGTGAAAGAAACTCTGCCCATTGTTTCTCGCCGGCGCCTGGGATCGAACCCAGGACCACAGGATCACAAGTCCCGCATGCTGTCCGCTTGGCCGACCAGCTCCCTAAAACAATCTGTTGACAAGAGATTGTTTTACATCATTTGTTGTTGACTTCCTGTCCTCGTCGAGGCCACTAGTACTAGTGGCCCTTGGGTAAACAATAATATAAATGTTGTGGGATAAAATGCAGCTGGTATAGAGCACAGAAAATCACAAAGCTTTGCTATGAAAATACTAGTCTCTAGGGATATAACATTGATCAGGAAAGATAATAGAGAACCTAACTCAATTAGCAGATTTTGACTAGTGTAAATATAGTAGTAGAGTGGAAATGCTAAAGACAAAAGACACCTTGTAAAATTCTATTATAGTCCCCCTTCAAATTAATTCAATCGTAGTCACGTTTCTAGATATTTATCCAAAATAACAAGTACAGTATAAATTAAATTTATATAAACATGAGCAAATGTTAATTATCAAGCATTGGTAATGCTTCACATCTGCTACCCACCGGTCACGAGGTATGCAAGCTTTCAAATCACTCCCCCGTTTGCATGGGTGAAAATATCATTCTCCGAACTGAAAGTAGATTGTCAGATGTAACACTTTACAGAACTGAAATTATATAATTACAGTATCATAAAAATTGTGACCCGGGAAAAATACCAACGCTCCAGTACTCAACGCATCAGATACACACAAGTATCAAACGTGTTGCAATGTCTACAGTAGAAAACAGGTTCAATTTTATTTGAAAGAATGATAATGGTGAGGCATTTAATAAATCTTTTATTCAATTTCTTTGATATAGGTAGTATATTTCACAAGGTAATTATGTCTATATATATATGAAAAGCACATTCTTCTATTGTGTAGTGAATAATGTTATAAAATGATATAGCAAAGGCTATGCACATAAACTTTGCATTCCAATTGATCTCACTTTAGAGATTATGAGTAGTTTGATCTTGCTTTTTACTTAAAACTTAAAAATAAAAACCTGAATATTTGATTAATGAATGATATAAATAAAGAGGGAAATTAACAAAACATTAATTTAACAGAATGCATCTAGCGAGTGTACCACCAAAATAATTTGAAGGAAAAAGCGTAATTAAAAATCGGTTAAAAGCGAAAAATAATAACTTTCAACGGAGATCCCAGCTTTGAGCAATGCCACACTTACGTAGTGCTTTACTGGCTGGAAGCACCAAGGATAATCCCACTTCTCAACTGTCCAAGCAACGCCTCATCACTACACTATACACAAAATACTATCACCATTCTACACACACCATTCACAAAAACACATTAACTAGACATAAATTTAGAAGAGGAAATATGAAACATGGTATTAAAAAGACAATATATAATGAGATAATATTTCTATCATTTGGAACTGAGATCACAAAAAAAAAATCATTCTTTAGGCTGCTTATAATTGAAAATAATGTAGAGAATATCTAAAATTAACATGAGCCATTTGCCCACCAATTATAATAAAATGTAATAATAATTGCACTTAAATGTTTTAACAAATGGAAAGCTACAAAATTAAATATACTGTAAAAAGAAACCAGAGATTCAACAAACATCACGTTTACTTATGTAGTTGCCATTACGTTTATATACATTATTACACAATGAAAGGTTGAAATTTGTATTGGAACAAATTCTTTATTGCAGGTACAGTACAGTACTTGATAAGTGGAGATACTGTGGCAAAAATATTAGAATGTATGTAAAATCAGTTATGATGCAGCAATCTCCAATTTATTCTTATGCTTAAATGTAATTATACTACTACTACACCTATAATAACCTTCATACATTAAAAGTGTGGTTACAATAGTAGCAGCAGCAGCAGCCAAGTGTATAAAAGTTGAGATATAATTCCTCTCAGAAACTGTGAGCTCACCTTCATACACTCGAGCAGTGTGTATGCTCATATAGTGTGTATAGAACCTAACTATTATTGTAATTCTTTCAGATCTGAAGCTAGTTAAATTAGCATGAAATTCATAAGAATACCCATACTGGTTTCATACTACGCAGCTTTGTAGTTTTGTGACATATTTCTTCACACAGCCTGGTCTGAGCATAACCTGCTTCAAGATCAAAGACCCAACATTTCAGTTAAAAGTAAGAAATCTGATCAGTTTCCACAAAAAATAAAGTGCATATAGCAGTGGGGGCTCTATGAGAGCAAGAATACAGACCCTCTTGGCAGCCAGAAACACAACACCTGGAAATAGAGGCAAAGACACAGGGAAGCCACAGCCTGATGCACCGCCTGGACCCCAAAAAACACCAGGGGGCACAAAGAGAGAGAGCGAGCAGGAGCCAAAGGCAAAAACAAACAGCTGCCACCGCAGGGCACATGTCTACTGCAGGCCACCCAACGGCACAGGCCAATACGTGCCCACCAGGGTGGGAAGTTTGTGACTATCAACATGCAGAAAGATGGTGGCAACTGTAAATAAAAACAATCAAGTACAGAATCAGACAAGGTGACCAAACCCAACCAAAAACATTAAAAAAAAAAAAATTTAAGAGAGAAACTAGCTACCTGGACTAAACACAGACAGCTAGGCTTGCCAGGCATAAGGGAAGCATCTCGGCTGAACAACCTCCAAACTCTGACAAATACTTGATGAGGGAAGTCGGATGCAGCCACAGCAAAAGCTCAGAGTGCCACCACACAAGAGCAGCACAACCAGCCACAATCACACAGTTAACTACTACACTCCCCTCAATAGGCCTTGCAATGGGGAGGTGTTACCTGGAAGTGTGGTCACTCAAGAGAAATCAATATAGAGAAACCTGAATCCCTCAGAGCAGGTATGTTTGGCAATGCAAGGAAAGCATGAGCTGACTAGAAAGAAAGTGAACCCTAGCCCACAACTGGAGTGCAATACAAAGCCAGGGCACATGCAAAGTGGATAACATAACACAATTGGAAGGATAATAAAAATGAAAACAAAGCAATGGCTCCCGATATAACTAATGTTCCAGGGATAGCTAACACCGCTAGGCTGGCTGGAACCCCAGGTGACCGTGAATGCCACCTAGTGATGATCAGGCATATCAAAGAATGTTTAACCCACACCACGACATTCTTTGCCTCGTTACCTCTGGGTACCCATTTTCTTATTTTGCTGCACTTCTGCTTTCTGCTGTTTTTTTTTTTTACTTTGATGCAAATAAGAGGATTAGGGATCCATGTAACTAAAATGTTAAAATTTTAACAAATTTAACTGAAATAAGCAAAATAGTCTTGTTGATGCCTCACTGAAGTTAAGTGTCATCCAAAACAGTGTACCACACTTCTAGTTGCATGAGAAAATCAGCAGCAGCTATGACAGGGATTTTAACCCATGCTCTGGGTACTCCCAAGCAAATGCCTTAAACAATTGCACCATGTAGAAAGGCAATGCAACCTGGGATTCAACTGAATCTTCTAGTTGCATGTAAAAATTGAGTGCTCACAACTGATCTCCAAACCACTGAGATATTGAATATTAGCCATTACATATTCATGTAAACAGCCTTTTTTTCAATTATTCAATTTATAATTAGAATACAGAAATTGGATGAATGTGAAACCTAATTGGTGCTTGCAATTGTCTACCACTAAACCTACCACACAAAACACACACTCTCTCACTGTTGGTGGCATACATGTTACAATCGCTAAGACGATGTCTAAATAACTTGTTTTTTATTATTTTTCTAGAAACAGGCTGCAGAGCAAATGCAAAATTGTTGAAATTGCTAACTTCATTAAATTGTTAGTTTTCAATCAACTTTATGTTTAGCCTGAAATTTAATGGATACAAGAAATTACCACAAGCAGACCACCTGTCTAGGAAAATACCACACTACTCAACTACGAGAGACTGCTACATCCTCACTTGAGATGAGAAATATTCTACCTATTTATTTCACACCTCCCTGAGAAATACAGACGGAAAATATATCGCAAAACATCATTCAATGTACAATTACATCTTTCTCCACCTTAATTTAAAAAAGCTAGAATATTGAATACTATATGTCCATAACAACGAACCATAAAGATGAAATAAAAACATAACCAAATTCAAATTTTGCTGTCAACTACCCCATGATATTTAGGTTCCTTATAAAATATTGTAAGGAATGTTTGTGCTTGGATAACAACCACCATATGCATGCTATTTTTGTTGATGCCCCACACACACACACACACACACAACTTAGCCATGTCGACACTCAACACCTTCATCCACGGCATCAATAATTACATCATCGGAAGCATTCACTTAAAATGTGAGCTACTGATACTGTTAAAGCTTATGCGGGCATGTACATCATACCAGCCACGACCAGACATTAATTCTTCCTATTGTTAATGACATTGCTACAGCTCAAAGACACACCAGTAAAAATACATAAACAAACCTTTTAAACATTTAATAGGTTTTAATTTATCATTAACGATAAATTTGGAAACTAAAATTCCATCACACACTAAGTATAATCGGCTTTGCTCTACTAACATGTGTACTAAATTTTAATACAAGGTAATCATATTTTGCATAAAAAGAATACAAGAAGTAGCCTTTAGCTAACCTTAATGCTATTTAGACAAAATTAGAACGTCAATAAAACCTGTTCTGCTAGTTATATACGTAAAAAAATAAGCATTCGCCTTGAATGCTACACGTATCCAGACGTACGTCTTCACAAAGCTACACTTCCACACAGCTACCTTCTCCACACTTACATGAATTATTATGTACATAATGCTCAAGCAGACCCTCTATTATTTCTAGCTAGGTCTATAATACAATATACTGTATTGGCTTTTAATACCAAGCTGCTGCTCTTGCATCACTTTATAAGTTATCAAATTTGTGACCAGAAACATCAGTTCTATTGTCAAAATTCTCTTAAAGCTTCAATGTATTGTGAATGGCTTTCACTACTGCAGTTTCTTTATACAAATCTACATACAACTATAAATTCCATAGAATTTTTGTCTGTGTTAATCCTTACAAGTATTTCCATAAGAAACATCGACTGGATGTTATGGTAATTAACTTTATGGATAGTTTACAATGTTATTTATTTCTAACTAGTGCCACCTCTATATGGCAGTCCAGGCAAGATAAACCTCGACACTCAAAGTCACTAATTACAAGCCATGTAGCACATCAAAACGCTCGAGCCTTTCCAACGCTAGAGAAGGCCAGTTGTGTTCATGCCAGCCAAGTCGCAGCTAATGAATGGTTTTTCACATCCAGTACAATTCATTTACGTTTTAGGAATGCAAGAATTATTCTAAAGTTTCAAACACTAATATAAGATTTACTTATTTGAGGAAAAGTGGGTGTAGGGGGAGGGAGGATAGGGAGAAAGTGGGTAAGGGAAAAGGGCTAGGTGGGGAGGAGCAGAGAGGGGGGGGGGGGGGAAGTAAAGCTATAATTGGCTTAAAGTACCTGAATACTGGCAAGCTATTTTTGTTCCTTTACACTAAGATATCCATTTACAGTAACTCATTACACACACAAAAAAAAGCAAAGCTTAAACTGAAGTAAAAGCTTTACCTTGCTGGCTATTATCACAAGATCATCAATCAGCAATACCATAATTTTTCCCTTTTGTCCTGCTGTGTAGAAGGAAAGTATCTCGCACACACTGCAGACCCTCATCAATGTCTCCTTTGCAAGCATGGTGACCAAGATCTTCCACTTACACTAAATTTAAAAGTGAAAGCTTTATATGACTATATATTTACCAAAATCAAAAATTATTGTGATTAAAAACATGTGCATATAATACCATTTTCTTGGCACAAGATTTCACCATTTGGCTAAAATATGTACGAATAGTCTACAATTATTCTAGAACATTGTAGAATATATATATGTACTGTATAAATGCTTTTATGCAGACGAGGAGTCACAATAACGTGGCTGAAATATGTTGACCAAACCACACAATAGAAAGTGAAGAGACGATGACATTTCAGTCCGTCCTGGACCATTCTCAAGTCGATTGTCGATAATGGTCCAGGACGGACCGAAACGTCGTCGTCTCTTCACTTTCCAGTGTGTGGTTTGGTCAACAATGCTTTTATTTGTCAGCTTTTGAGACGTGTCATACAATTTACTCCACAAAGCCATTCACAGAGTGAACATGCAATAAATGGAACACATTGTCAAGTGCACCTGGCAAGTCAGAGTTCAGGAACTCTGTTCAACTGGTAAATGATGTTCATATTTATGAGTTAATCCAAAAACTCAAAGTGAGGTGCATACAGTTCATACTGGAATGACGGGTACAGAGAGAACAAAAGGTGCGGCGTTATGTCGTCACAAGCCAACCTTTGCAGACTGGCTTCCAGCTCAGGGAATGAAGGCCGTTCGTCTAGGTCCTGTTGCCAGCAGTCGAGCATCATTTGATACAGTTCATCACCAACATACTGTGGCTGAGATAACCGCAATCCTCGGAGCACACGGCCAGCAACATCCTCGGTGCGTACATCTGCATATGGAGTGCCCCCAAGGGTAGTCATTTCCCACATTAAACAGCCAAAGGACCAAGTATCACTCTTTGACGTTGACAACTTGGTCCGCAAGGTTTCGGCAGCATGCCACCGTCTGTAATCTGGTACATACAAGTCATTGTGGTAATGAAGAAGACCAAAGCCAGTAACTTTTGGATGGGTGCCATCAACCAGTACCACATTCCTAGCGCACAGCTGACCATGGACCACTCCAAGTGATGCTAGGTGACTCATGCCTCTAGCCACTCCTGCCAATATATCAAAAGCCTGCAAAAACAACATGCAATTAAAATCTCACAAGGTTAATAAAGATAACAAAATGAGTAATGAAATGCTGTCTTTTCAATGGCCCCTAATTTGCTCCTTAGAGATTAGATGCTGGTGTCACAGAGCCTTCCATACATACATGGTCCCTGGACTTGTTCAACCTACTAGAAACTAATTATCAACATTACAACACCATACAACCGAGGCAAACCACTCAGAAAATACAAGCAAAAACAAACTCCTAACCTCTCTGAAAAAAACAAAGTGAAGAAACAAGACAAGCAATATAATGGGTAAACAAGGAGACAAACACTCAGGAGCCAACCCATAAGGGGGCCACAACATGGGACACTAGCAGGGTAAACAAATCAACCTAGAACAAGGTCCTAAACACCTCCACTGAAATCAGGGAAGGTATCATATATAACACCCATTCAACAATGGAACATTATAAGAAAAACCAGGGCGGACCTGGAAAAGCACTAAGAAATGAATGACGAGAGCAGAGGAACCAAGGAACCCACCAGGAAGCCAAGGAGGCTCGAGGCCAGCAGGTCACTGATGTCACAGAACCGAAAACCACATTAACAAAAAGGCACACTACCCCCATGGAGCATTGCTGGACTGTTGCCTTGGTTGGCTGGTGTAGCCAAACAGCACAAGTGGCCCAACACCCTAAACAAGGGTAATGGGGGCCACACTGGAAACCACAGGTGTACCCAGACAAACACAAGGATGCTGCTAGCAAGGGCAGCAGGTTCTGAACTGAAGGATGGTAATATAGTGACAACCAGTAGAAACAAAAATTAAACAATTTCTCCGAGACACAAACCCAGGACACCATGCAAATGATCACAGGAGGAAACTAGCCCTTGCAGAATAGCAAGAAAATGGCCAGTTGTAGTCATGATTGGAACCTCCCAATCCAGCTATAGTTGACATCAACAAATACAAACTTCCCTTACACAAAAGTACAGGACCATCCACGCAACAGATGGAAGCTCCCAATATGAGAGACAGGTGAAAGAAATGGACAAACAACATCTCATAAAATTGAGAGGGAGAAAAGCTGAAAAACTCCACCATGTGTACAGGAGTGAGCAAAGCACACTGCACCCAAGAGACACACACATGCTCCTGGTGCACAGGTCAGTGGAGCAAACTTCCAGAGGAAATCAAATGGATGAACTACAAGCCACACAAGGAAACTTAAAGCATACATCCAGCCATGTATCCCAGCATATATGAAATATACACTGAAGACATAATCTAAATAAATTTTACTTATGATTCCTCCAGTCTGATTTCTCATAAATGTTTCCCGCTACCATAAATGGTATATTTTCTCTTCGACGTGGCAATGTCCAGTCCTTCACTAACCTCCAGAAGTGTACACTAACATATTATATCCCATGATCTTAATATAACTTCCTTTCTAGTACTCGCCCCTGGAAGCCTGGCATAGTTGATGCAATCCGTAGCTACTAATTCTACAGATTCATAAAAAAATCCACACATTGTATATAAGTACAGTATTTACATTTGTGTTCACCATAGCAAACCACTAAGTTGGTATGTTGAGTCCAGACAATAACAGGTCACCACAGAGTCAGCAGACAATGCTACCACCCTCCCTCACTAAGATTACTCCTCCCTCCATTGCTAATTATCACCACAATCCTGCTATTATCAGAATCCTGGTCATTTTTATCACAGTCAGGGGTCTTCTGTAATACTATCATCACTAAATAATAGCAGTTACATATATATTTTGACAATGTTAGGCAATGCTGTGGTCACAAGCTGAATGGCAGTGCTGTTAGTTCATGCTGCGTATGCCAGCCTTGGTTGCTCACTCAGTACTGAGACTCTCAAACCTGGGAATGTTGCCCATGATTTTTTTTTTTAAATGATTAAAATTACCACAGCCAAATTCAGTATAGTACAAATACTAAGACATGCAAAAAACTGCACTACAAGTACCAAGGATTGTTGTCCCAATCCAACACACCTGTCCTTCAAGAAGTGTTGAAAATCTTCTGTTCTTCTCAGCATATACAGGATAGTGTTGTACGGCACGGCTCTCCACCAGGTGGGTTTTGAGAGTCGCTGTTTCATACTCGAAGGCCACAGAAATTATATTGAGTTCCTCCATGAGCCCCATAAGAGAGATGATGTGTGGATGTGAAGCGATACGTATGTGTGCGTCAAACTCACGCAACATCTGCATCTTGCTATTTCTGTCCAAAGTATCATCTGCTATTCGCTGGACTAATACATTCATCTGATTAGCTTTATTGACTACCACGCCCTGAAACAAATTATTCATGATAAGAAAAAATACATTGTTAATTTTTTAACATTATATACAACAATACTTTACAAAATATTGCATAGTAATTATTTTTTTAATAACACCAAATATAAATTAAAATGCATAAATCCCATGCAGCTTAAACTGGGTATTGGTAAAACCATTAAGTGCTAAGATTATAGTCATATTAAAGTTAGACATGAAATTTATAAGATATAATTTTGAAGAACACACATCACCCAATTACCAGTGTTCAATGGTAATTGGTAATCATTGCAATTATGACAATATTCGATCATAATAATGTCGCATCAAATTCTGCAGTAAAACTTGTTATGGGCACTATTTCATTAACTTGTAACTCAAGTATTATATTATGCTCATTTAGTGAATTATATAAATAATTAACCAGCTGCTGAGTAAGAACATGGGAGAGGAGCATGGGTGAGTTTGTTTTGGCTGTGAGCAGTTCACTGCAAGCTTAGCATCTTGTACAAAGAAATTGTTAACCATGAAAATTATAGTAATCCTTTGAACATAGCCTTTAATAAAGCTAATACTTAGGCAAGTACCTCAAGAAGCAGTTATAGTTTACAAGCACCAGAAGCTTTCTATTGTACTTATTATGGACAGAAAATAAGATATTCTAGAGAGCTCCCATCACTTGTCAAGCAGATTTTTATAGAATACTATGGTACTAGAAACAAAGTAAAGTGGTAACACCACAGGAAGCAAGCGGTACTTTGGGAAGTAGTACACGCAGCAGATACATGTTGTATGTACATAGCATTGGGCAGAAAATTGAGATTATAGCAAGTTAACCGCCACTTGACATGCAGCAATTACATAATACTACAGTTCTGCATTGATCATAGCTTTAGAAAAATTGTCAGCAATAACTTACTCAACTATAAAAAGCAACATGTGCTTTAAAAATACAGTACATACAAGAAAAGCAATAACAATTTAGTATAAGAAAATTGGTCAATGTCCTGCCAGTTTCAACATTCTTGGTGCTTGTCGGGTTCAGTGAAGCTGTCAGGCTGCAGGAGATTTCTACACACTAAATGATCACAGTTTCTTGCATCAGTTAGTACACATAGTGAGTGTGGTACTCACAGGCCAGGCACTGCATGTTCACTCCTTCCCAGGCAAGACGGCAGTATCTTCTTTCGTGTTCTTGCAGGATTACCTGCATTCACTATTTAACCTTGTGGCCAGTATGGTGTGTTGTGGTGCTGTTGCTGACTGGAGTTGTAAGGTTGACATAAAGCTATGGTTTGGTTATTGTATTTAATGACATTCATACTGATTCAAGTTCAAATACATTTATTGAGACAATAAGATACATCTCAAAAGGATAGAGTAGCATAGGCAATTTCTACCCTCTCATTCATACTGATACCAGAATAGCAGCGTACCAAGGCTGATGACATCCTGTGCTTCCCCCTCTTTGTTTACATACAGCTGGTGTACGTAATATTTACATACAGTAGCATACAAAGGAATAGCACCATTTGCTCTGAAAATAGCATTCACATCTGGAGTTTTTGTTACAAGCTTATTGCCATTTGTATAGTGAGCAGGCTATTAGTTTATGGTGTCCCAACTGCATTATTCTATGTGGCAGTAGTACGCAGTAGTCTGGTGCTTGTTTCACCAGTATATCTCTTCGTCATCTTTGGTTTTGGTCAGGGTCATCCTGTCCCTTTTGTTTTGGTCGTTTCTCGACTGCCATCTCATGCCTATTACTGTCACCACCTATCATTTGGCATTGACAGTGCAAATGTTGTTTGCATTTGGCATCTCGTGTACTCCCGAGCCGTCCTGGTCTCTTAACCAGGTTTTGGTCTATCTCCTAGCATAACTTTGCTCTTTCCTCTTCAGCTCATGGTATCTTTCTTAAGGCTCCATTTTTGTTGGCTCTCACCTCTAACTGTAGGATTGGAGAGCTTTGGGATCTTCTCTGGATGTGGGGGTTTTGCTCTTTTGGGCCTGGTGGGCAATATGACCGAACTAGAATTCGAACTCCAGGATTTTGTTGTTCTGATAGGGTTCTGGTGGCCCAGTATCTAGTCAATGTTCCTGGTCCCAGTCAGTACACTGTTACTTTGGACTGTCTCCCAGCATGGATCCTCCTCATCCCCATCCTCCTCTTCAATCTCATCCTCATCATCCTTCTTCCTAGTGCCTGCTATCTCTCTTCCTTAGTAGTCTCATTTTCATTCCCTGTGGTTAGCTTCAGGAAAACACTGAAGAGCTTCCATAGAAACCAAGTCTTGAATGTAATCAAACGCATCTTTTTGGTGGAGCCCAGTTGCCTCTCTAATTTCCTCAATTCCCTTCCAAGTTTGTCGGTTTATCCGCAAGTTGTTCACGAACTCTAGAACTGACCAAGAGAACCAGCTGCAGGTGGGGGCCAGGGGGCCTGCTGGTGGTCAGCTGTACTAACAAGTGTCAGGCTAGTTTGAGTGAATCGCTTGTTTCACATGAATAGTTTGTAGAGTTGTTTAGCAGTTTTTAAGCACCATTTTCTGTCCTATCCAGTTATCTATGAAGTTTCGCCAACTTTCTGGATGCTTTTCTGGTGGAGTGGCAATGTGTCTCTCGCTCCCTGCGCCTCTTTAAGGGAGGGCCAGATTCTGGTTCTGGTCCCCAGGAAGCAAAACAGAACTTCTAGCATGGAGCAATCTTAGCAAGGCAGCTACATTGAGCCAATAGAGCAGTACCAGGAGGAAGCATTTCATTACATTCAATACTGGATTTTTAAAGCAACATTCCCAGCTCTTAGGGGGGTAACAAGTGGCCAGTAATGGTATTCTGGGCCTAATATATAGTATTAGGCCTGTTTATATACATACTACATCACATTTGTAGATCAACTAAACAAAATTGTGTATTATATAAACGTCTAGGGTGTTGTGAAAATGTCTACGATAGTGCAATAACAAGATACTAACCATATCCAGCAAGGGTCTCGATCCTGATGTCGCCGGATAATAAAAATGTTATTTACTTGAATTACTGTTGATGATAAAATTAAATCTCAGTTCTTTTAGTTTTTTGCAGCCCTTTACTGCGTTTTGTTGCTTTAACATAGAATAAATAGGAATAAAATCGAGAGCTTCTATTTTCTCAAGCACAGTAGTTCTGTATAACAATCACCGAAGACGGTAAAAATATCTTGTCCTGTAGCCAAAAGAGCACTGCATCATCCAGTAATAATAATAATATACAAGGCTGAAGTAAACACTAAAATAATTGAGAGATCATCTAAAAAAGTTAATAATCGACCCAGAATCACTGGATATCACCTAACAAAGATATATAAATCAAGACAAAAATATTATTTAATGCCTGTAAATCACCCGAGTTGAGCATATATACTGTAACTTTAATCTACCATATTACACAATAGTACATACAAGAACACAAAAATATGTAATAGGTGCAAAGTAACTAGGTTATTTTCTATATAACAATACAGTGTACTGTATAGCATTAGCAAAATTGAGTACATATACTATTAGGGTCAGGTTGAACATCAATGGACAGATAAGAAGCTGAAAGGGTTGATATTAATGAGTGCACCAGCATAAGGTCTTTTATCCATGGGTAAGCAATGTTCAAAATATAACTAATCATGAGCTTGGAAAAAACATATGAAAGAAGCATGGTTTAACTTGCAGCATACATAATGAGATATGGTAAAGGCAATGATGAACCACTGGAAGATGGTAAAAGTATCATAGTAATTATAAATGAAATGGCAATACCCATATAAAAAAAAAGTAAAGCTATTTAACAGGAAAGGATCTGGAAACGGTGAAACAATGGCAGAGATGTTAAAATGGTAGTGACATTCGGATAGTTACAAACGTGCAATAGACATATACCAGTAGTTACAGATGCTCAATAGACATACCAGTAGTTAGAGATTCTCAAATTACCGTATGCGAAAGATTGTTCTTGAAATGGGAAAATTTGTTAACTTGTCAAGGGCTAAGTTGGTAAAAATAAGCTCACTCTAACAATAAACTAGTTGTAAATAAATTAGGCAAACAACAATGCTGTTATAAACAAGTGTAAAAAGAACAATATTTTCAATGCTATTGTTACACCTGTAAAAGTAATTTTATGACAGGAAGTCATATATGATATTTGTGAACTTGCAAAATGCACATACTACTGGAAGATCTTAACATCACTGGCTCAGAATGAACTGTTGGTATGTTTTGATCATAGCTGATCAGGAGAGGCATCCTCAAGCCAGCGACTATGACGTGAAGAATGTGCTATAATGAGTACATGGCGATTAATCATTACAGTGTGCTGTAGTGTATTGGGTGGCCGAGTGTAAATGGGTACCTGGGAGTTAATAAACTGTTGTCGGTTGCATCTGTAGGAAGGTCATTCATTAGCCACATGGACCTCAAACCTAACCTGCTTTCTATCCCTAACTATGGGAACCATTACTGTACAAGGGTTGGGCATGGAGGGGAACACCAGTCATGTACAGCATTACACTACCTTAAAACTTACAATCTGACCACATGCCTCATAATCAATGGTTAATAATAAGTACAGTACTGTACACTGAATAAGTAAAAATTGCAAAAATGTTGATGCAATCCTTGAAACTGGATTCAGAGATAATGATCTGATATAGACAGCTCTTACAGTTACTGCAATTATGAAAAATTTGCCTATTAAAATTATTGGGGCTACGACGATGACAATTTACAGTGTACAGGTATATGTTATGGGTTCTAGGACACGTATTCCACACATATACAGTACCAAATACCTTTATTCTTTCATCTAATGCAAAACTTCCCAGGGTTTTGTTTACATCCAAGATGATTGTAATTATCCCTTGGTCATCAAGGCAGTTGTCTACATATTTTGGAGGCTGGTGGAGTTTCAAGATTTAACAACTCATTCCAATTATTTTTTAAATGGCTTCAAAATCTACGCCCAGAGTACAGCATGACCCAACAACAACTGGGGATGGGGGTCTTCCTACCACAAGCATACATAGACCTTGAGTGCCAAACCAATACACGAAGGCATTCTCCAGATATCACAGACGCTGCAAATTTATAGACTAAACCAGAACTATTAAATGAAGATTGTTTAAGGAATCCCTTGGAGAATACCTAATTAATCAGCCAACATGGGTACAATGAAGGTAAGTAGCAATATGAATACAGCACTGTATAATATTTTGAACCAGAACTGTGTAAAAGCAGTACAGTAATATGAAGAATAGGACAAGAAAATAGATGACAAATTCAGGCCATTAAAACTATCCAAGATATATTTGGCACTTGAAAACAGGAAGGTTTAGGCAAGAATGAAATACATATGCAATTTCTAAATACACAAATGTGGGGTGGGATTGGAAAATGCACTATGAAAAATACTGAATTAACAGCCAGGTAGAATGTATGCAAGATAAAAAGGGACTAGTGTTTGAAGAGCAAACACCTTCTTCGATGAAGAGATGGAGAAATACATCGAGTAAGGAATTTAAGAACAAATCCACAAGGGCCGTGACGAGGATTCAAACCTGCGTCCGGGAGCATCCCAGACGCTGCCTTAATCGATCAAGCTATTCAGTCGTGCAGCATCTGGGATGCTCCCGGACGCAGGTTCGAATCCTCATCATGGCCCTTGTGGATTTGTTCATTTGATGCATCGTGCTATTGTGATTTCTGTGTGTAAGGAATTTAAGAGCATATAAGGATTATAGAGCAGGCAGCAATACATCACTTGAGGGGGAGGATAGCTTAGGATCTTCCCTGCTTGAGATATAGAAAGAAATATGGACAGTTACCTTTCTTACGTCCCCAAATTTTCCGGTTCCTATGTCTCCAACAATGTTAAGCCCTTGGTGAGGAATGATCCAGACTCTCTCCTTCAGCTGCCGGTAATGATCTGTTGGAGGTGTTTCCTCATCCACGTAGTGTGCCCCTACTGCATACCCATTTTCTATGTCCTGATTTGGATGATCGGCATGAATGGCTAGTTCTTGATTTTCTAAGGATCGACGATTTTTCTTGACCAATACTCTCAAAGCGACATATAAAACAATGGATGCAATCAAAAGAAAGCCAAAGAGGCCTATGGCAATGGACAAGCCTAAGATTAGCTTCCGATTATTGGCTAAGTGGATACCGACCTGGGGATTATCATCCCTTTTCACAAATTCATCCAGTATAGTACTCTCATGCTGTTCATGATTTGAGGGTGAATAAGCTGCCTTTGTTTCATTTATTGTACTTAAAACCCCAAGTAATATGTGATAATCTACACCTTCGCTTAATGGAGCATTGTAGTAATTCCCATATTGTTTTTTATCACCAACTGTGAATGTAGTCATAAAATTATCTGAAGGAAACTGAGCTGCAATGTAAAATGGAAGACCTTTTTCAGAAGCATTATGAAAATCTTCAAGTAGCTGTGGCTGGAGCTCAACACTAACAGTTTCATCTATAACCACGACCTGATATGCTGTAATGGGTCCGTTAGTTGGAGGGACAGATTGGAGCTGCACAGTCATGGTGGTGGAGGTCCGACTTATAAGTTGGGGGGATGCAGGAGTTTCCGGCTTTCCAACTTTGGTCCACATTTCCCTGGACTGGGGATATCCAAGACCAGCAGATGAAGCGGCCCTTATTTCCACCTTGTATTTTGTACCAGGTTGTACGCCATGAAGCCAGGCAGTGTAGGTGTGGGCAGAGAACACCCACTTCATGGGTCTAGGTGGGTCTCTTTCACTGTAAGTAAAATCTGGTATTGCACTTACATGGTATTCAAGAATTTCTGACAATCCTCCAGCAGGAGGTTCCCAGTTAATATGCAGACTGGATGGTTCGCTGTCTACCTGTGTAAGATTCATTGGGGCACCAAGGATGCCTTGACCAGTTTCATATACACTCATTACTCCATCACCACCACAAGTCTGTGTGGAGTTTGATAAGCACTGAACATTACACAGATCAGATGGGTTACCACTGAACACATCTCCACACAAACACTCATTTCCATTCAATAGCCCAGCATATCTCATTAACTTGGCTCTACATTCTTCAACACAGGCAGTTACACTCATTCCACTTGATGTGTTGGGCGAGTGGTACAGCAAAGGTCTTTCTGCATCCTCAGTGAAGCATCCCAGAGGTACAATCTCCTCTGCTGGTGATATTACACAGCAACAACAGGCAAGCATTGTTGCTAAAAGCCAATCTCTTCTACTCCTCCCCATCTGTAAAGATAACAATGAGCAATCAGTTCAAAGTAAATACTGTAATACTATTTATCTTTAAATAAAAATTCTATAAAAGTGTTAAATATAATGAATATAATAAAATGCCTCTTTCTGGTGGGTCTTTGATGCTACCTAGCTATTTGGATAGCATCACTCAGATCAATTCACACCCTTGCCAGTCTTTATAATACCCACCAGTGACCAGAGGCTAAAACCTGGCCTCCTCTATAGAGGTACCTGTACAAGGAACAGGGGATACGAGATTACCCTAACCAAGAAAAAGTGACCAGAAAGGTGGGCAAGCCAAAACTGCCAATCAGTAAAGTACAGCACATAAATCATAGAAAATATGACCCCTATGGTCATGAAGCAGTCTCTTTGGTGCAGTGGTAAGACACTCGCCTCTCACTTTGCAAGTGATTTGGCTTGGGTTCGTATCCTGGCCGGGGAGTATTGACTAAACGCCAATCCTTAACTGTAGCCTCTGTTCACCCAACAGTGAATGGGTACCTGAATGGCTGAAGTGAATGGTTGTTAAAAAATTTGGTGGGTCGTATTCCAGAGAAAATTAAGATTAAGGACCTGCGCAAAATGTTATGCATGATAGTGGCATACAAGAATGTAAGAATTCTTTCTTACATTCTTACAATAAAAAAAATCTTGACCTCTTGATAATATATCGTCTTGTAAATGACCATAAAATACTCCACCTAAATACTTTTTTGTGTAAAGAGGAAATCACTTACCTTTACAACTAACCTTTGTTATCTAGAAAGCAAAACGGGAAACAAATTAACCAAATTTCTTTGCATAACCAAGAACAGTACATTGATGTAAACTGCTTGCTCGTATATGGCAGTTAAAAAAAAATTCTGTAATTACAGAATCCAATGTGGGGCTAAAATACCTACTTAGAGCATCACTATTTTTGTAAACATTTTATTTCACTTCAAAAATGAGCATACCAAAGATAACATTTTGAGACTGGTTCCTACCATCGGCTCACAACCAATTGGACCCAAAGTCATTTCCCGTGCAAGACGAGAAGTTGGGGCACATTGCTTTATGCCCGATGCTGCAGTAGATAGGTACCCCAGAGTTAGGTACCTATTAAAAAGGTTTACAAAAAGAATGAGGATTTAACCCAATTAAATGTCATGTCACAACTGACAGTTTATTAACCTTAGTCTGCAGTCATTGTCAATTGTTGATTCATGGGGTAATGTAGATACTGTCATATGACAATTCAAACAATTACTGTACTATTATTATCTGGGCTTTATATGTAAGATACAAATATTGATATAATAGCTCTCTGTGAATGTAAATAAAGAAAAAACAAATGATAAAACAATCAGTGAAATATCCCAGGATAAGACAGGAAAGCATAGTCTTTTTTATTTTGTTTGTATATTTATATATACAAGTTGTTACATTCTTGTACAGTTACCAGCACGCATAACGTTTCGGGCAAGTCCCTAACTCTTAATTTTGTGTTTTTCCCGAAAACAACCCGCCAAATCATTTAACAACCAAGTAGTCGAGCACCAGGCGATAATAGGTGCCAGATGCAGCCGCCTCCCAGTGAAGTAATAAATATTCACTTATTTTCGTGTTTTTCTTACATTATGCATAAAATTAATAATTCTATAATGAAAAATTATTTTTTGGAATTTTATATTTTGTGTTTTAAAGTTTGCTATATTTTTGTGTATTATATTTAATTTTATATTTTTGTGTTTTATATTTAATTTTATATTTTGTGCATAGGCGAATATGAGCATTTCTCCATAGTCACTGGCTTAGGGTTAAAAATATGCAATTTTCATTAGGTTTGTTTAAAATGAGTAGCGATGACAGTACGACAGTTCTTGGGGCCTATTGTGAAGGATTAGATTTCCTGCTCCCACATCAATCTAACAAGGGAGCCAAGAAAGCTCCCTGGAACACAAGTCAGCATCATACAATCTTGAGACGGTTGATTAGATTTGATTTCGGGACTTAGCACCCCGGTCCTTGACCAGGCCACCTTTTTGTTACACACCCCCAGGAAGCAGCCCGTAGAAGCTGTCTAACTCCCGGGTACCTATTTACTGCTAGGTGAACAGGAACATCAGGATGAAGGAAACTCTGCCCATTTGTTTCCGCCTCCTGCGGGGATCGAACCCGGAACCTTAAGACTGCGAGTCCCGAGCGCTGTCCACTCAGTCGTCAGGCCCCCCGTAACAGCTCATCTTTGAATGAAAGTACAGTTGAAATTACAGGACGACCAATGTCCGGCAGCTATCCTATGGTATGCGTCGTGAGGAGGTCGTCACCAGACTATTCACTGGATGAATCACCTGTTAGCACCCCGCGAGGAACGACCCACTGCCATCCCACACCACCACTCTCCTTAATACCCCTCTCTTGCATCAATACATTGATGCTTAACCACTCTGGTCAGCCACAAGGTATCTAGCAGTGCGGGCGTACCTTTATATGGTCAGAAAGTGGCCTCAAACCGCACCCATTGCTGTGGAGAAGGTGCCCGCGTCTCACGACCCACCACACCTGGCCTCACACAAACAACAACCACTACCAACCCTTCCCAACTCTCACCCTCAAACATAATGAGTCAAAATCAAATCAAAATCAAAATCAAAATCAAAATGTTTATTCAGGTAAAAGTACATAGATATAAGATGAGTTACAAACATAATGTTGGATTTATAGATAGAGCTAGTACATACAATGCCTAAAATCACTAATACGCACAGCGTTTTGGGCAATAGTCCACCTCACTTAATATTGTTTTTTGTATATATTTGAGTCAATAGAGCCTTTCATTTTAATTTCTATGAGTAGGTGGTAGGATTTGATGAGATTGAATTTAAATTGAAATAAGTTTATTGGGGGGTATAAATACACACAAAGGGATGAGGTAGCTCAAGCTATTCTCACCCCGTTCAGTACGTGTTCATATATGTATACATATATAGACACACATCACAAACAATAAACATATTACCGAACGTTGTGAGTGATAAAAATATATATTTCTTCCTTTACGTGCGGTATGTTACTTGGTGGGTGTGCGGGAGGGTTGGTAAATTGAACGGCGGGAAGGTTTGAACTAGGCTTTTTTTAAGTAATAATAATAATAATAACTTATTTGCAAGGAGGTACAATGAGTTGGTGAGATTATATAAAATTGGTATTTTTACATTCAAGCAAAGCCACTAACACGCATAGCGTTTCGGGCAGATCCTTAATCTAACATATCAGGTAAGATGAAAGGGCACATTGTAGCAAGGTTTTTATATCAACAAATAACTACAACATAAGTTGACAGTGGTGATTACACTGGTAAGGATATATGTCTTAAGTACTAATATTGGGGAAGTGGGTAGTACAAGATACAGTGTGAGTTTGAAGCACAAGGTAGGAAACTATGAGGATGAAATTAGGTACTTTTTGGTTTTACTTTTGAACAGGGAATGGGGTGGAATTTTGTTTAATTCATCTTGGAGTGAGTTCCAAAGACCTTTTATTTGCATGGAGTGTTTGTACAGTCCATTCTCGGGGACAGGAAGCCTCTACCTAGGCTTATACATGCCCTAGACCGACTTCTGACCTCCACGGTACAACTATACAACACCTGCCTAACTCCATATTTGTTCATTTACTGCTAGATGAACAACGGCACCAGGTGAAAGGAAATGTACACAAGTATTGTACAAATGAAACAAATGAGCACAGTTTCTTTCACCCTGATGCACCTGTTCGATGGTACCTATGATGGTAGGAGGAATTGATTTCCTTACACTAGCTCTTGCCTGTCTTTACCTAGACGTAGTCCTTGAAGATCAAGAGTTGGTATATGGTGTTACAAAGCGTCACTGTAATTCAGGTTAAGCTTGTTACAGAGCGTCGCTGTAATTCAGGTTAGGCTTGTGTTACAGAGCGTCACTGTAATTCAGGTTAGGCTTGTGTTACAGAGCGTCACTGTAATTCAGGTTAGGCTTGTGTTACGGAGCGTCGCTGTAATTCAGGTTAGGCTTGTGTTACAGAGCGTCGCTGTAATTCAGGTTAGGCTTGTGTTACAGAGCGTCACTGTAATTCAGGTTAGGCTTGTGTTACATAGCACTGTAATTCAGGTTAGGCTTGTGTTACAGAGCGTCACTGTAATTCAGGTTAGGCTTGTGTTACAGAGCGTCGCTGTAATTCAGGTTAGGCTTGTGTTACAGAGCGTCGCTGTAATTCAGGTTAGGCTTGTGTTACAGAGCGTCGCTGTAATTCAGGTTAGGCTTGTGTTACAGAGCGTCACTGTAATTCAGGTTAGGCTTGGGTTACAGAGTGTCGCTGTAATTCAGGTTAGGCTTGTGTTACAGAGCGTCACTGTAATTCAGGTTAGGCTTGGGTTACAGAGCGTCGCTGTAATTCAGGTTAGGCTTGTGTTACAGAGCGTCACTGTAATTCAGGTTAGGCTTGTGTTACAGAGCGTCACTGTAATTCAGGTTAGGCTTGTGTTACAGAGCGTCACTGTAATTCAGGTTAGGCTTGTTACAGAGCACTGTCACTGTAATTCATGGTATTTTATTAACTTTTTGGGGGAATATATAATACACTGCACTTTTGACTAATTTTTATTAACAATAACTCTCTACACCTTAACAAATTCTGTCCCATGATTTCCATGTATTATATTCTTTCAGTATTCTGAACAGTTTTAATGTCTCTTCTCAAAGTAATAACATCTTTATAACAGACAACATTATTTGTTGAAGATTATGAATGAGAGATTTGTGAGAGCAGTGAGGAGGCCTGTGAGGTGAGAATGAGGCTTCAGGAGGTAGACTCGTGTGCTCAAGTATCAATGAGAGAGAATTATCGGGGAAAGCGCTAAGCCATTACGACTATATAGCACTTGGAAGGGGTCAGGATAAGGATTTGGGATGGGACGGGGGAGAAGGAATGGTGCCCAGCCACTGGGATGTCGAGGATTGAACACCTACCTGCAGGAAGTGAGACCGTTGCTCTACCGTCCACCCCAAGTGGTTAAAGAAGTATCAATGGGAGAGAATGGAAACTTGAGCGTGATGGAAGAGAGCAAAAGAGAGTAACGGGATGGGAAAGTGGATGTAGGTTGACATCAGCTGGGACAGAGAGCAAATTAATACGTTCCAAACAACTTTTTCCACCATGTCAGCTGAGGGTCGTTTCGTCTCCTGACTCTGTTGTCGCTGACTTCTGGCGGCCCCTGCACAACCTGCCAAGGACAACACACATTATTATACTAATACACACCTTACCCATGATTCACTAAGCATCTACGTGTCCGCTTACGAAACCTGTATATCATTCCTCGATCATGGTGACTTTATTTATTAAACAGGTTACGAGCGTCGACAATTCGTAACTTATAGCCGTGGCGCCTAAGAACTGAATAATATATACAGACTAAGCCGCTGTAAATGAATAAAGATGTAAAAGTCTCTTCTGTGCAGATTTAAATGCCCATTCAGTGACTGGGCATTATATATACCTTCTTGTATATAAATAAGTAAATCAATAAATAGTAATATGCATGAGAATTTTTTTGGGGGGAGTATTGAGGTGACTAAGTGGTTATATGGTATATATATATATATATATATATATATATATATATATATATATATATATATATATATATATATATATATATATATATATATATATATATATATGTCGTACCTAGTAGCCAGAACGCACTTTTCAGCCTACTATGCAAGGCCCGATTTGCCTAATAAGCCAAGTTTTCATGAATTAATGTTTTTTCGACTACCTAACCTACCTAACCTAACCTAACCTAACTTTTTCTGCTACCTAACCTAACCTAACCTATAAATATAGGTTAGGTTAGGTTAGGTAGGGTTGGTTAGGTTCGGTCATATATCTACGTTAATTTTAACTTTAATTAAAAAAAATTGACCTCATACATGATGAAATGGGTAGCTTTATCATTTCATAAGAAAAAAATTAGTGAAAATATATTAATTCAGGAAAACTTGGCTTATTAGGCAAATTGGGCCTTGCATAGTAGGCCGAAAAGTGCGTTCTGGCTATTAGGTACGACATATATATATATATATATATATATATATATATATATGTCGTACCTAGTAGCCAGAACTCACTTCTCAGCCTACTATTCAAGGCCCGATTTGCCTAATAAGCCAAGTTTTCCTGAATTAATATATTTACTATAATTTTTTTTTTATGAAATGATAAAGCAACCCTTTTCTCTATGTATGAGGTCAATTTTTTTTTATTGGAGTTAAAATTAACGTAGATATATGACCGAACCTAACCAACCCTACCTAACCTAACCTAACCTATATTTATAGGTAAGGTTAGGTTAGGTAGCCAAAAAAGCTAGGTTAGGTTAGGTTAGGTAGGTTAGGTAGACGAAAAAACATTAATTCATGAAAACTTGGCTTATTAGGCAAATCGGGCCTTGAATAGTAGGCTGAGAAGTGCGTTCTGGCTATTAGGTACGACATATATATATATATATATATATATATATATATATATATATATATATGTCGTACCTAGTAGCCAGAACGCACTTCTCAGCCTACTATGCAAGGCCCGATTTGCCTAATAAGCCAAGTTTTCATGAATTAATTGTTTTTCGACTACCTAACCTACCTAACCTAACCTAACCTAGCTTTTTCGGCTACCTAACCTAACCTAACCCATAAAGATAGGTTAGGTTAGGTTAGGTAGGGTTGGTTAGGTTCGGTCATATATCTACGTTAATTTTAACTCCAATAAAAAAAAATTGACCTCATACATAATGAAATGGGTAGCTTTATCATTTCATAAGAAAAAAATTTGAGAAAATATATTAATTCAGGAAAACTTGGCTTATTAGGCAAATCGGGCCTTGCATAGTAGGCTGAGAAGTGCGTTCTGGCTACTAGGTACGACATATATATATATATATATATATATATATATATATATATATATATATATATATATATATATATATATATATATATATATATATATATATATATGTCGTACCTAATAGCCAGAACGCACTTCTCAGCCTACTATTCAAGGCCCGATTTGCCTAATAAGCCAAGTTTTCATGAATTAATGTTTTTTCGTCTACCTAACCTACCTAACCTAACCTAACCTAGCTTTTTTTGGCTACCTAACCTAACCTTACCTATAAATATAGGTTAGGTTAGGTTAGGTAGGGTTGGTTAGGTTCGGTCATATATCTACGTTAATTTTAACTCCAATAACAAAAAATTGACCTCATACATAGAGAAAAGGGTTGCTTTATCATTTCATAAGAAAAAAATTATAGTAAATATATTAATTCAGGAAAACTTGGCTTATTAGGCAAATCGGGGCTTAAATAGTAGGCTGAGAAGTGAGTTCTGGCTACTAGGTACGACATATATATATATATATATATATAACCAAAATGGTTATATGGTAGCAACAAAAATTTGGTAGCAGCTAACTAAATAAACAACAGAAATTGTAAAATACGTTTTGCACGATATAACAGGATTTACACTTCAATATAAGTGTACCAATCCGTGATTACACAATGCTTTCTTCTACGTCAATACTTACAAAAACATCCTAAAAGCAGTACCTTAATTGTTGACAAGAATTCATCATTATACTAATATTATTTTAAATGTTTATTTAATTACAAGAAAACGGTAAGGTGGATGAGTGACTATCTTGAAGGGGTCGGTAAAAGGGGAAGGTGGATGAATGACCGCACCTTGAAGAGGGAAGGTGGATGAATGCTCGTACCTTGAAGGGGGAGGTGGATGAATGCCCGTACCTTGAAGGGGAAAGGTGGATGAATGCTCGTACCTTGAAGGGGTCGGTTGCACCTTGGTACTGGTAGACGCCACGGAAGAGGGTCTTGTGGTGTCCGGTGTGAGTAATCCGGTAGGTACCGACTTCCGCATCCTCCGGAACGTCCCACTTGACCGTGGCCACACTGGTCCCCAGCAGCGTCGACTCCCGATCCCAGATGAACCTAGAGGTCGCGACGAGAACGTGTACGTTGATATTCGGTGACGTATGATGGTACTTGACGACGAGTGAAGTAAAAAATGACCTCACTACAGTTTGATACAGTACATCAGTGTACTGGTGTATATACGTCATAGAGATACAGTCTTAGAGACTGTACTTGTGGTCTCAGGAACCTATTGTTGAAATAATCCACATAAATTAGTAACGAGCTTATCAGAACTTGCTTAGCTAAATTAATTTTGAGGTTCAGCTCTTGAGCCCCATTATGTGCCTCTTGTGTTCACTACCGCCTACAGGATGGGTATGGGGTCCACTACCACCCACAGGATGGGTATGGGGTCCACTACCACCCACAGGATAAGTATAAGGTACATAACAAATGAACTAAACTAAAGTGTTGCCCTACAAAGCACTATACCCACGCGAAGGACTGACCTGGTGCCCCTCAGAGCGCTGGACCACCTGCAGGACTCACCTGGTCTCCCAACTAGCGTCAGTAGCAACCACCTGCCAGTCGCCGGCCTCGTCCAGGCGTTCCACCGTCAGGAAGGATCCCCCGAGTTGAACGTCGTTCCTCGGGTGACCGGAAACCTGTCGCATACCAGATATCACATAATGTAAATATACTTACATATATATATATATATAACAAACTAATTAACAAACTTGTACTAACAAACTTGGCAGTGACGGTCTCTCCGACGTAGGCTAGGGGGTAGGGCTGGGCCACCACGTCCCCGAAGGAGGTACCGACGGAGACGCCATCAAACATCACATCCGGCAGGAGGGTGATGAGGGAGTCCGACATGTCTGGGGGTGGCGGGCCGGCTGGCGGAGTCTCTCCCTGTGTGAGGTGGTAATCATAGTTGTAATTATATGGAATTCCTCGTATTTGCGATATTATTAGTGGTTTAATAGTTATAGAATGTTATAATTAGATACAGGAGGCAGGAAGAGCAGCCTGTAGGAAGTGGGGGTGTGGTACTGACGTTGAGGATGGCTGCGGCGAGGTAGGAATACTGCTGCATGTAGGCGCTGCAGGTGTGGGGGCCGTAGATGGTGGAGGCGGCCTCGTAGCGCTGGGCCTGGTACTCCTCCCAGGTGGTGATGTAGTGAGTGTACAAGTTACTCAATCCCGCGATCACTGGTACTGGGTCAGCCACTCCTCCAGCTGCGAATGTTGCAGCCACCTGCGGGAGAGTGATCGCGTTAACTCCACCCATACTAGATGAACAGAGGCATCAGATGAAGGGAAACTTGCGCAATCATCTCAGTTCTGCCACGGGGAATTGACCTGTCTGTCTGTTGACTTATATATACAGCATCAAGTGCCCAGGGGTACTCATCAACGGTGCCAGCAATATGCTAACTTATTTTCTAAGTGTCAGCTGTTGACTGATTCTTCCTTCACCTGTAGAATATTAATTATTACTACTCTCTCTGTAAGTTATTACTGTCTGATACCTCCCATGTGGAGTACTAACTGCTTGATACCACCTCGAAAGAGGAAGAGTAATACCAGTTACCTCCTTATGTGATATCAGCTGTTTAGTACCTTCTTTAACGTGTAATATCTGCCAGTTGTGTCCAGTATAGGATACCAGTTGGCCAGTACCACCTGTAAATGGTACCACCTGTTAGTTACGTCCCCTTTAAGGGTTACCACCTAACCAAAGGACGACTTACCTGGTCTCTGAAGCGTCGTCCACACATGGTGGTAAACTCTCCGGGCACGGGGGCGACCACCAGCTGCCCCACACGACCCATCTGGGTATCCACGATGGTCGGGTGCCATGGGTAGGGTATGTTGATCTGTGGGGCACAGTGTGCGTCAGAATGAAGGTAACTGCAGAAGCCCTATTGGCCCATACGAGGCAACTCCTATTTATATCCACCCAAATTCATTGATGGAGAAAATAGTCCTGGGGACCATTCAGGCTTGTTTGCATATATATATATATATATATATATATATATATATATATATATATATATATATATATATATATATATATATATATATATATATATATATATATATATATATATATGTCCTGAACGTAGCCCAGGACTAAAGTATACTGTCTACTAAAGTATACAGGACTAAAGTATACTCGGTGTATATACACTTGTCGTCTGTATATTGCCTAAGGTTAGAATATATTTACTTTAGCTGAGAATAGATTTGGTAAGGTTAGATTACCTCTTGTTAGTTTGACTTAGTATTCTATTCCTATTTTATTTATAATATTTGTACATGGGGAAAATGGTAAGTACATACATTTTCAACGCCACAATATCATTGCCATTTGCGTAAACGAAATTACATATCATATAGCCTTAGTTAACACAAACAATTAGCTACCTATATCCTGCAAGCAAAAGATATTGAAATAGCGTTTTGATCGACGCTTCTCCACCAAATTTAATTGCCTGCAAAACAGCCGTCCTATAGTACAGTTGTGGAGAAAATTAGCCAGTGGCCAAAGTTGATCCATCACCATTGAATTGTTGACCAGACCACACACTAGAAAATGAGGGGACGACGACGTTTCGGTCTGTCCTGAACCATTCTCAAGTCGATTGTGTCAATCGACTTGACACAATCGACTCAGGTCAACCACCACATAATCGACTTGAGAATGGTCCAGGACGGACCGAAACGTCGTCGTCCCTTCACTTTCTACTGTGTGGTCTGGTCAACACTGTTCAGCCACGTTATTGTGACTCCTCGTCTGCACCATTAAATTGGGCTGTGGGCAGTGTTGATTTGGGTCTCACCTCGCCGGTGTCGAGAAGGATGGGCTTAGGGGCGTGACAAGCGACCTGCTCTGGCGAGGGTGTACGGAGCAGGCCGCTGACCATGTTCCAGAAGGGGTTACCAGTCGTCATTCCTTGTGTGAAGTCGAAGGCTCCTGGCCCGTCTGTGGTGCCCGCGGCGAAGCTGTAGCCTAGTGCTGGGATACATGTTGTGTTCTGCAAATAGGTAGACTTTAGTCAAGACAATAATAAGAAAACGTGAACTTTATGAGCTGCTATAATCTTCTACAGTACCCCATATCTTGTCCCATGGGAACTTTGACGTTAAAATGCTATGTATTAACGTGAGGAGAGGCTGCAGGTCACGTATCTATTGATACCAAAGGTTACATAGAACAATTAAAGATAGCCTGCTGTAAATAAATTATATGCAGACTGTAAGTAGCTTGCCATTACTGAACTTACCGAAGACCCGTCGCTAAAATTGACAGTGTAGTTGGACATATCGATGAACTGTTGGGCAAACTGAACTGGACCGGATACCTTAACCGGCGCCGGATCATGATACAGCTCCTGTGGAAATACACTGAGGGTAATACACTCGTCCGGAATACACTCTACATGCAGTATATTTAAAGCTATCATCGAAACTTGGATATATATATTCGTATGATGAAGTATGTGGCAGCGAGAAATTCGAAAAAACAGTAAATACGACATTCGAGAATTGTCATATTATGGTCTGTGTTTTTTGACATTTCAAGATCATTGACTTACATTTTTGTTAACCCACAATAGTTTAATGAAACTGTAATTCCCAACAGATTATTTTCAACATAATGGCATAAAACCATGTGATATGCAGGCGATGAGTCACAATAACGTGGCTGAAGTATGTTGATCAATCCACACACTAGAAAGTGAAGGGACGAAGACGTTTCGGTCCGTCCTGGACCATTCTCAAGTCGAAACGTCGTCGTCCCTTTACTTTCTAGTGTGTGACTTGGTCAACACCATGTAATATATTTGCATCAATACATGGTAATGTAATATGGACTTACCCAGGCCTTCTGGAACTGGTTGTTGCCAATGATCCTGGTGCTGTCCATCATGTCCTTGCCAGGACCGAAGGCAATGCAGTTCTTCACACGGCCGTTGCAGGTGGAGGACACCAGGTCACAGGGCAGACCCGTGTCGATGCACTTGGGGCCCTCGGTGTTGGGGCTGACGTCTCCACAGTTTGTCTGAGCAAATGCTGCGACAAACTTGCCCTGTTGAGGAGTGCTAAGACTCAGCTTGGGTTTGGTTGGGTGCTGTGTCAACTATGGCTAGGCTAGGTGATAAGAGTCAACTATGGCTAGGCTATATGATTAGAGTCAGCGTAGGCTAGGTCTAAGAGTCAGCTTGGGGGGGGGGGCATGTAGGTCAAGACATCTTAGATAAGAAGAGCGAACTAAGACGTCCGATGTCGTAGACGTCTACGATAGACTGACAATGTCACCTACTGGAACAGAAAGATATATACTAACTTGACCAGGTAATGAACCGGGGTTCATAGCCTTCTCGAAGAGTTGTGAGGCGTAGCCCTTGTTGTCGCCGGAGACCAGAGTGTTGGTGTTGTTCATGGAGGTTGGGTGTACTGCGAACCAGTTCACCATCCCTGCAACACAAGTGCAACAATGACGCCATGGTCTGGGTACCTATTTCCTAACCAAAACAATTACCTAATTAATTCTTTGTTAATTTTCCCCTTTGCTTCCTCCTAATCATCTCTTCCTAACCATATCTCTCTCTAAAAATACAAAACTGCAGTGTAGTGTTACAGTACCATCACGGAGCATAAGCTTACCTAAATCTGTACCGTCTTGGGCGACAATCTTGAGAAGGGTCATGGTCTTGTCGGTGTCGTAGAGGTACTTGGCCCGCTCCTCCTCCGGGTTGTAGAGGTAACTTGACGGGGAGCGGTTAATGGAGGAGTCTAGCAGCTCCCCGCTGGTGAGGTACAGGTACCCGGGGACCATGCTCTCGTGCGCCTCTTTGATGCTCTGATGACAACGCCCAGGACATTAGTAACTTGTTAAATATACTTTAAATATACTGGTGCTGGTGCGGACTGTCCTATCTATCCAGTCGGTCCTATTAAAGAGGAGGCAATTAAGGCAAAATAGGAACTCCCCCTCGCCACAAAATCGATGAAAGGTTGCTGGCAGAATTCCAAGATGTGTTCACTTGAAAGTGACGAAGGAGAAGTCAGCATTAAATGGAAATGTGTCTGTTTGAGGTTTGATGCGAGGTGGGGGAAGGAGGGGGAGAGGGTAGGGAGATAGTGAAGGGTGGGGAAAGTTTTGGGGAATATGGGCGAGATTTGATTGAAGAGGGAGGGAGGTAAGGGAAGGGGACGGGAAGTATCAGGGGGGAAGCACCGAGCCATTACGACTATATATCACTGGGAAGGGGTCAGGATAAGGATATGGGATGGGACGGGGGAAAGGAATGGTGCCCATCCACTTATTATTATTATAATAAAGAATTTGACTTACCAGAACGACGCCTTCAACCATAGCATCTAGAGTCCCTGAGATGAAGCCAAGACTGGTAATATCGAAGAGGAGGTACTGGAGGTAGCCGGCAGGGCCGGAGTGGGTGTGGGTGCCGGAGAGCATGAGGTTGTGGTGGCCGTACAGGTCCCCGTACTCCTCCTGCAGCCGCTCCACCACCTGACGGACACAACCACCCAACACTCACATATCTCTAAATGTTGTTCCCTGTTGAAGTGGGAATTATAGCTACGAGGACCTAATGAGCAAGACCTAATGACTAAGACCTAATGACCAGGACCTAATGACCAGGACCTAATGACCAGGACCTAATGACCAGGACCTAATGACCAGGACCTAATGACCAGGACCTAATGACCAGGACCTAATGACCAGGACCTAATGAAAGAACAGTTCCGGTGCAGGCGATGAGTCACAATAACGTGGCTGAAGTGTGTTGACCAGACCACACACTAGAAAATGGAGGGACGACGACGTTTCGACTTGATCGACTTGAGAATGGTTCAGGACGGACCGAAACGTCGTCGTCCCTTCACCTTCTAGTGTGTGGTCTGGTCAACATACTTCAGCCACGTTATTGTGACTCATCGCCTGCATAACTGAATGACTCAGACACCCAATGCATGGGTGATGATAGTAGTATTTAATTTTAGATGGAAAAGCTTTAAACTAAACAGAAATGAGCCCACATGAAGTGATTCCCAGGTTCAGTAAACACTTACTGAGTTGTAAACTGAATATCTAAGACATCCAATACGTTGTTGATGATGATAGTAATATTTTATTTTACGATTGAAAAACTTTAAACTAAAATGAACTCACATGAAGAAATGTAGGTAGCGAACATGTCTCCTCAGCTCTTTTATCTTCCGCAAAGACTTTCCTCCTATCTCAACCCTATTAGTTCATGTTCTCGTGTTTCACTTTTTGTTAAAACTAAATCTTCAACAAGATCCCGTAGATCTGAGGCAAAGTGAAATTGACAGTGCTTAATTTAGAAACTGTACTTATGGTCGGTCTTGTCGGAAAATCCGACACCATTTTATATCATACAGATAATAGCTGTGTTGTATAAACAAGTTACCCATAGAAAACGTAACTTGTAGTGGAATTACCGTCTATAGAAAACGGGATATCATCACCACATACTATTATAATTCACCAGCTATTTTGCTGGGAATTATTCTTAAATACATTAGTCTTTGGACTTTACCATCATAAAAACATCTTATATAAATTAACTTAATTATCGATATTAAAGTAGAGTAAATGTGACCCTTCTATCACTTTCTGAAATCTGGACAATGTAAGCCAGGCGTCAGTGAGGAAGGAGGGGAGCCATTGTTGTGTCACCTCCGAGACGTGTGGAGCAAATTTGGCTCCTATCATATCTGGACAATGTCGGCCAGGCGTCAATAGTATGGAGTGTTAGATGCAGCCATTGTTTATACTAGACCAGAGGCTCACGGGAGCAAATTCGGCTCCTGTTAAATTTACTTGGACGTAGTGTTATGGAAACTAAAAGTGTACCATTATCAACACGCTGTCTACAAATTCAAGTTAAGTGTCTATCCGAAACCCGTTTATCATTCATTTATGGCCATTAATGTCAGGATATAGGGTGATCTGGTTAGATCACGACATAGCCTCAAACTAAAGGTAATTAAGCCAGGTCTTTATTGTTCCATGTACTGTACAATGTTTCTCTGAAATACCTGTCATATACTAGGTTTCTGGCTTCACAGCTAGCGCCCTTTTAACAGGTCAAGACGAGGAAGCATGTTTGTGCATCAGTTACCAGCACGTGGAAGCTACCTCAAAGAGGGAAAATGTGGTCTACATCCTGGTTATACCTGCTGTACAAATAAGATAAGGAACCTTTTCAATGTATGTAGTTAATTCTGTAGTTTGATTGGCTGCATATATATATTAATTTAATAACCCCCCCTAATGTGTAGAGGATCGATTTGTGAGATTAGAGATTATTGCAGAAATACAGTCCACTCATTATCATACAAATTGCTATCGAAGTATATAAATTAACGTAAATATAAATTCATATAAATTAAACAAATATAAATCTCACAGGTCGGTTCCCACAGGTCTCGAACCCATTGTCGATGGGCCGACTTATATTGAATTTTGTAACTAGCTCATCAAGATTGTAACTTGCTTAGCTAAATGAATTGTGGGGTTCAGTCCCTGAGCCCATTATGTGCCTCTGTAACCCTTTCCACTACCGCCCACAAGATGGGTATGGGGTGCATAATAATGAACTAAACTGTCATACAGTGGTAATGGCATAAGGTCAGCCTGACCAAACTGTAGATGCTATGTCCTACCAAATTGAAGCCGGGTATTTCACTAATGACTCAACTCGAGAGAGAGAAGCAGTCTATCCCATAACATATTAGAGTCTTCAGTCCACTGCTGCTGTTGCTGTTTGACTTACTGAGTTACTGAGGGATGGTTTTAAAATATAATAATAATAATAATAATAATAATAATAATAATAATAATAATAATAATAATAATAATAATATCAAGACTAAGATTCGTGAGGTATATGTTGTGATCACACAGTTAACAAAAAAAATATTAGAGTTTGTAGGTAGTGATCACGTCTCCCCAAACTCTTCTGTCTTCCAGCGTGGTATGTCCTCTGGTGAGCATGTGTGGAATGGGACAGCATCTGTGTGTTTGTGAACTGGGTCACTACTCTACATATGAACAGAAATACTACTACTACTACTAAAGGCTTTGCATAGAACATTCGGTCTGGGAAGGGTGAAGTGATGCTTGATGGCTTGGGCTTGGAAGGGGGTGGGAGGGGGGTTGGGGTTGGGTGGGGGTGAGGGTAAGGGGCCGGATTCACGAAAGCACTTACGCAAATACTTACGAACGTGTACATCTTTCCTCAATCTTTGACGGCTTTGGTTACATTTATTAAACAGTTTACAAGCATGAAAACTTGCCAATCAACTGTTGTTATTGTTATAAACAGCCTCCTGGTGCTTCGGAACTCATTAACTGTTTAATATTTGGAAACAAAGTCGCCGAAGATTGAGAAAAGATGTACAGGTTCGTATGTGCTTGCGTAAGTCCTTTCGTGAATTTGGCCCCAGGTCATCCCAATACCTCGTCCATCTCACTACGCCTCAAACCACTACTCCAGATGTGTGTAATTGCGAAGCTCCTGGGATTGATGTTAAATAATAATAAAAGAATACAAATTATATATAATGGGTTTACTTCTCTTAACTATTTATTTATTTATTATTCTGTATAGCGAGAAAAGCGTGTAAGGTGATAACTTGCAGGTGACAAGTGTGAGGGGAGGGAGCGGTCGGCTAAGGTGTGCGGTGTCGCCTCATTTAGCCTCAGTCATGTTACCTGGTTGATTACCTGGTTGATGGGGTTCTGAGAGTTCTTCTACTCCCCACGCCCGGCCCGAGGCCAGACTTGACTTGTGAGAGTTTGGTCCACCAGGCTGTTGCTTGGAGCGGCCCGCAGGACCACATACCCACCACAGCCCAGTTGGTCCGGCACTCCTTGAAGGAAACAATCTAGTTTCCTCTTGAAGATGTCCACGGTTGTTCCTGTAATATTTCTGATGCTCGCTGGTAGGACGTTGAACAACCGCGGACCTCTGATGTTCATACAGTGTTCTCTGATTGTGCCTATGGCACCTCTGCTCTTCACTGGTTCTATTCTGCATTTTCTTCCATGTCGTTCACTCCAGTACGTTGTTATTTTACTGTGCAGATTTGGGACCTGTCCCTCCAGTATTTTCCAGGTGTATATTATTTGGTATCTCTCTCGTCTCCTTTCTAGTGAGTACATTTGGAGAGCTTTGAGACGATCTCAATAATTTAGGTGCTTTATCTCGTCTATGCGTGCCGTATATGTTCTCTGTATTCCCTCAATTTCAGCAATCTCTCCTGCTCTGAAGGGAGAAGTGAGTACTGAGCAGTACTCAAGACGGGACAACACAAGTGATTTGAAGAGTACAACCATTGTGATGAGATCTCTGGACTTGAAGGTTCTCGTAATCCATCCTATCATTTTTCTGGCTGACGCAATATTTGCTTGGTTATGCTCCCTAAACGTTAGGTCGTCGGACATCATTATTCCCAAATCCTTGACATGCTGTTTTCCTTCTATGGGCAGGTTCGATTGTGTTTTGTACCCTGTATTATGTTTAAGATCCTCATTTTTGCCGTACCTGAGTACCTGGAATTTATCACCGTTAAACATCATGTTATTTTCTGTTGCCCAATCGAAAACTTTGTTAATATCTGTTTGTAGTTTATCAATGTCTTCAGCAGAGGTAATTTTCATGCTGATTTTTGTATCATCTGCAAAGGATGACACGAAGCTGTGACTTGTGTTTTTGTCTATATCTGATATGAGAATAAGGAACAGTAGCGATGCAAGGACTGTACCTTGAGGTACAGAGCTTTTAACTGCGCTCGGACTCGATTTTACTTGATTGACTGTTACTCTTTGTGTTCTGTTCGACAGGAAATTGAGTATCCAGCGTCCTACTTTACCAGTTATACCCATTGACCTCATTTTGTGTGCAATCACTCCATGGTCACATTTGTCGAATGCCTTTGCAAAATCTTTGTATACGACATCTGCATTAAGTTTTTCCTCTAATGCCTCAGTGATTTTGTCATAGTGGTCAAGTAGCTGTGAGAGGCATGATCTTCCTGCTCTAAATCCATGTTGGCCTGGATTGTGGAGGTCATTGGTTTCCATGAATCTAGTGACCTGACTCCTGATCACTCTTTCAAATACTTTTATTATGTAGGACGTTAGTGCAACTGGTCTATAATTCTTTGCCAATGCTTTGCTACCACCCTTGTGTGGAGGGGCAATGTCTGCTGCTTTAAGCGCATCTGGTATCTCCCCTGTGTCCAAGCTCTTCCTCCACACTATACTGAGTGCCCGTGCTACTGGCACTTTGCATTTCTTTATAAATATTGAATTCCATGAGTCTGGACCCGGGGCTGAGTGCATGGGCATATTGTCAATTTCTCTTTCAAAATCTGCCACACTCGTGTTGATATCAGTTATATTTACAGGTGTTTGAGTATCATTCATAAAGAAATTGTCCGAATCTACCACTTTCATGCTGAATATCGGAGTGCTAAACATGTCTTCATACTGCTTTTTTAGGATTTCACTAATTTCTTTGTCATTCTCAGTGTATGAACCTTCACTACTATTGCTCACCTGTTCCTATACTTTTACTTTTACTCTACATGACCCACAACGTCCCACATGCTGCAACATGTCCCACACAAAGGGACACAACACACAACATGTCATCACACAAAGACACCGCCTGCTCCCCTCTCCCCCTTTTCCCTCCTTCTCAGCCCATACCCATCTTAAGAGCCTGGTCTCCTTGACTGCTATGTTTATCCCATGCAGTTGTGTTTACACACACAAAAAAATTATGATTTGTTATAATAATAAGACTGAGCCTCCCACCCCCCCAACATGACCCCCTCTCAAGTGACACCTGCGTCCGCCACGCGCCAAAACATCCGGGGAAAGCCCCAGCAACCTCTGAGATGATGTACACATGCCCACATATTTATCTTCCCCTCCCCTCTTACCTACATGACCCACAACGTCCTCCTGACGCAACCCGTCCCATACATTTTACCCTCTGCGACCCATTACGTCCCCCTGACGCAACCCGTCCCATTCTACGGACTCCCACACCACTTTTGACTATGACCGAGTTCGATCCCTGAGGTTCTCCTCGGGTTTGGGACGGTTCTAGTCTCATATTTCACTACTACTACTAATACTGGGATCACGTCTGCCTTTTTTGGGATCACGTCTGCACGTTTTGGGATCACGTCCGCGTGTTTTGAGATCCCGTCCGCGTGTTTTGGGATCCCGTCCGCTCATTTTGGGATCACGTCCGCGTGTTTTGGGATCCCGTCCGCGTGTTTTGGGATCCCGTCCGCGTGTTTTGGGATCCCGTCCGCTCATTTTGGGATCACGTCCGCGTGTTTTGGGATCCCGTCCGCGTGTTTTGGGATCACGTCCGCGCATTTTAGGATCACGTCCGCTCGTTTTTGCATCACGTCCGCCCATTTTTGCATCACGTCCGCCCATTTTTGCATCACGTCCGGCACATATTCATCTACTACTACTATTGCTCACCTGTTCCTATACTTTTACTTTTACCCTACATGACCCACAACGTCCCACATGCTGCAACCTGTCCCACACCATGCTATCACACAAAGACACCGCCTGCTCCCCTCTCCCCCTTTCCCCTCCTTCTCAGCCCATACCCATCTTAAGAGCCTGGTCTCCTTGACTGCTATGTGTATCCCATGCAGTTATGTTTACAAAACAAAAAAAATTATGATTTGTTATAATAATAAGACTGAGGCTCCCACCCCCCCCAACATGACCCCCTCTCAAGTGACACCTACGTCCGCCACGCGCCAAAACATCCGGGGAAAGCCCCACCAACCTCTGAGATGATGCACACATGCCCACATATTTATCTTCCTCTCCCCTCTTACCTACATGACCCACAACATCCTCCTGACGCAACCCGTCCCATTCTACGGACTCCCACACCACTTTTGACTATGACCGAGTTCCATCCCTGAGGTTCTCCTGGGTTTGGGACGGTTCTAGTCTCATATTTCACTACTACTGAGGTGAGGTTGTCGGGTGTGGGTGAGGAGGGCGGGCGTGGCGGGCGTGGGAGAGGAGGGAGGGCGGGCGAGGCGGGCGCAGGAGAGGAGGGGCGGGCGAGGCGGGCGCAGGAGAGGAGGGGCGGGCGAGGCGGGCGCAGGAGAGGAGGGGCGGGCGAGGCGGGTGCAGGAGAGGAGGGCGGGCGCAGGAGAGGAGGGGCGGGCGAGGCGGGCGCAGGAGAGGAGGGGCGGGCGCGGAAGAGGAGGGCGGGCGGGGAGAGGAGGGCGGGCGTGGCAGAGGAGGGAGGGCGGGCGTGGGAGAGGAGGGCGGGCGGGCGTGGCGGGCGCGGGAGAGGAGGGAGGGTGGGCGTGCGGGCGCGGGAGATGAGGGCGGGCGTGGCGGGCGCGGGAGAGGAGGGCGGGCGTGGCGGGCGCGGGAGAGGAGGGCGGGCGTGGGAGAGGAGGGCGGGCGTGGGAGAGGAGGGAAGGCGGGCGTGGGAGAGGAGGGAAGGCGGGCGTGGGAGAGGAGGGCAGGCGTGACGGGCGCGGGAGAGGAGGGCGGGCGTGGGAGAGGAGGGCGGGCGTGGGAGAGGAGGGCGGGCGTGGGAGAGGAGGGCGGGCGTGGGAGAGGAGGGCGGGCGTGGCGGGCGTGGGAGAGGAGGGCGGGCGCGGGAGAGGAGGGCGGGCGTGGGAGAGGAGGGCGGGCGTGGCGGGCTCGGGAGAGGAGGGAGGGCGGGCGTGGGAGAGGAGGGAGGGCGGGCGTGGGAGAGGAGGGCGGGCGTGGGAGAGGAGGGAGGGCGGGCGTGGGAGAGGAGGGAGGGCGGGCGTGGGAGAGGAGGGCGGGCGTGGGAGAGGAGGGCGGGCGTGGCGGGCGCGGGAGAGGAGCGCCGGCACCATCACCGCCCGCGTCTGGTCCTCCACTTGCGCTCATCAACCATCAGTTGGCAAGTGTCTGGCGTGAGGGGCGGTCGCTCCGTCGTGTCATTGATCGCTTCTTCTCCAAGTTCAGTGTTAACCAAAGGAAGTTCATACACACTCACTTGATCATATACCGTAATATTCACCAACGTTTTCAAAGGTAGAGTACCGCCTTTAATTTGTATATTAGTTTATAAAACTGCACACGTAACAAATCTTATGTAAACAGTGTTGTTATTTGAGCTTGTGGGGTTGTAGTGTTGTGTTCTGGTAATTTTGTGGCTTGTGCAGCTGGCTGCCCAGGGTTCGGTACCCAGGGCTGAGTACCCTTAGTAAGGAAGTTCAATGCTCGCCTAGTCTACCTCCCGGTAAACTGGTATTCAATACAAGATGGCAACTTGCAATACAATTATTGTGGGTTATTATGTACAATAGTTATCAATTATTATACATATTATTGTATCTGAGGATAAAATGGATAATGAGGATAAAATCGGCTCCAGGAAGGATTTCAGAGATATATGTGTTATATATATATATATATATATATATATATATATATATATATATATATATATATATATATATATATATATATATATATATATATATATATATATATATATATATATATATATATATATATATATATATATATATATATATATATATATATATATAATTGATTGATCTAATTTAATTAATTGATCTAAAAAGCCATCTAGAAAGAGAGTCAGTAATCCGTTTTGCACATGAAAATAACAGTCTGGCATTCCTGGATATACTAATAACACAAACAGGAGCCTCTCTAAGCACTAGTGTATATACTAAAGTCTACAAACATAGGATTATGCCTAAACGGTAGGAGTGAGTGCCCCCAAAGATACAAAGCCAGTGTTCTCAACGCTCATATTCGTCGAGACCTTACCCACTGCTCTGAATGGAGCAACGTGAGTAGGGAATTTGAAAGTAAGTAATTATTAATAGAAGGCACCAAACCGGGAAGGCTATGTAGCACCAGGGAATTTGAAAGAATAACTCAGGTGTTGGTGAAGAACGGATATAGCAACACAGAAATAAGCACTACTATAAGAAGACACCTGGACCGATGGTACAATCCTGAACCAAGAACAGAAACCACAACACCTCCAATAAAATTATATTACAAATCCACCACGCACAGTGAACGTAAAAAAGAAAGAATAATGAAAGAAATAATCCTTCAAGGAGTAAAAAGCATAACTCCTAACCAAAACATAGACCTATAAAATAGGATAAAAGCATAGATCATATTCTATAAAACAAAGAAGACTACCGACCTCCTTATTAAAAACAGCCTGAAGCCGATAGAGAACCCTTTACAACAGTCAAACGTAGTATATATGTACAGCTGCCTCTACGAAGGATGTAACCTTCAATCTAAGTACATAGGTATGACGTCGACCAAGCTGATGAGGCGTTTGACCTGTCATCTTCAATCACGTCCCCCCCCCCAAAAAAAAAAAAAAAAATTACATGAGACAAGCCCATGACATCACCCTAAGAAGAGAAATGTTGAATAAAATTGACCTGTCTTCTTCAATCAGGTGCCCCCCCAAAATCATATAAGACAAGCCCATGACATCACTCTAACAAGAGAAATGTTTAATAAAAACACTTGTATAATAGACAAAACACAAGGTACAAGAAGATAAATTCTTGAAGCAATCCACATAAAAATAGAACAATCTACCATAAACACCCAAATTACGGACGTATTCACTGTACCCACCACGAGAGTAAGAACAAGACCGGAACATGAAGATGCCAACATAGAAGACACTGCTCAACATGCCACGCCCACCACACTTTATTAATCTTTGTGCTTCGTACCCCTTTTTTTCGCCTTATTCTTCACACTTTTACGCCTTACTTTTCACCTATTTGTATTTGTCTGTACATTACCTCCCTAATGGTATAAATCCAATATGCCCTGTACTGTCCCATCACTTGAGAATGAACCATGTAGGTTCGAAACGTTATGTAAATTTATAAGTGTAATACATTCTACAGTTATTTATTTTTTTTCTTCACCTAAAACGAAGATGACTTTTAGAGAAATCCTCTTCCAATTACACCAAGATGTAAGCCACCAGTCAGAGGGATAGAAGCCCTAAAGAAGAAAATAATCAATACAGAATATGCAGGCGCCTGTTCTTGGAGGCAAGAAAGTTGCAGTCATCAGCGCAACTTTTTCATGATGAATTGTAATTCTATGGCGAATGTCACTGACGTCCTCAGGCCAAGTCCATTCCATCCAGCGGTCGACCCCAAAGACGCATTCATAAATTTTAACATGCTGTTCATTCAAAACTACTTTGCTCAAATATAAATTAATATTATTATATATTAGCAGACTGTGCATATTTAGGCACTGGTCAGGTGTTCAGGTTCTGTTGGCGATTGTTTGTGTTTGTAGTACGTGGGTGAAGCATTTACAGCGTTGTGGTTCGAAAAAAAGTCGCCAGTGAAGCACTTGTTCCGGAAGTGTTCGAACGTCATCAGTTGTGAGTCGTGTGTAAACAGTTTTTCATTGATAAACAGGGGACTTGGCAAGTGGATGGAATCACTTTTGAGTCTTTGTTTGGAGGACGGACTGGATTGTCCGATAAGTGTTTACAAGCAGATTTTTTGGCCGTTTTCGACATTCAATCAACGCTCCGCTCGGAGGACATTCGGAGTGTGACTTGGGACATCTCAAATGATAAGACGTTCTAAGACCAGGGGCCAGATTCACGAAAGCACTTACGAACGTGTACATCTTTTCTCAATCTCTGACGGCTTTGGTTATATTTATTAAGCAGTTTACAAGCATGAAAACTTGCCATTCAACTGTTGTTATTGTTATAAACAGCCTCCTGGTGCTTCGGAGCTCATTAACTATTTAATAATTGGAAACAAAGCCGCCAAAGATTGAGAAAAGATGTACAGGTTCGTAAGTGCTACCGCAAGTGCTTTCGTGAATCTGGCCCCAGGTCAGCGTGGACAGGAAGCTCGCGTAGAGGTTAAGGCAGGATTAATATCCTCCAAATTATTCAGTATTTTAAGTTTCCGAGACCCGCCCCCTCCTGTCATGGCAGGTTTGCGGTGTTGTTAGTCCTGTGGACCTCAACCTTTCCTGGTATGGGAAAGTTCTGGGAGGATTTTTGTCGCTATCTGTTGTACTTTCTCCAAGGCAGATATGTTCTTTTGAACATGAGGTTTCTATGTAGATGAGGTCTTGAACATGAGCTCTCTATGTTTCATCATCATCAGAGATGAAGGGAAAGTTGTAAAGTGTAGGAAAGTGTACACACACACACACACACACACACACACACACACACACACACACACACACACACACACACACACACACACACACACACACACACACACACATACACATATATATATATATATATATATATATATATATATATATATATATATATATATATATATATATATATATATATATGCACACACTTGTATATGTGTAAGCTTGTCAGAATTGCACCTTTGTGAACACGCATTAATCACATTGTGTAAAAGAACATACCTCGAACATTATTTATGTAGGACAGATATAAATGTGTTTCTGTTTTCACCTGTGGACCCCCACAACCACGTTCCCACCTGTGGACCACCACAACCACGTTCCCACCTGTGGACCCCCACAACCACGTTCCCACCTGTGGACCCCCACAACCATGTTCCCACCTGTGGGCCACCACAACCACGTTCCCACCTGTGGACCCCCACAACCACGTTCCCACCTGTGGACCCCCACAACCATGTTCCCACCTGTGGACCACCACAACCACGTTCCCACCTGTGGACCACCACAACCACGTTCCCACCTGTGGACCCCCACAACCACGTTCCCACCTGTGGACCCCAACAACCACGTTCCCACCTGTGGACCCCACAACCACGTTCCCACCTGTGGACCCCCACAACCATGTTCCCACCTGTGGACCCCCACAACCACGTTCCCACCTGTGGACCCCCACAACCACGTTCCCACCTGTGGACCCCCACAACCACGTTCCCACCTGTGGACCCCCACAACCACGTTCCCACCTGTGGACCCCACAACCACGTTCCCACCTGTGGACCCCCACAACCACGTTCCCACCTGTGGACCCCCACAACCACGTTCCCACCTGTGGACCCCCACAACCACGTTCCCACCTGTGGACCCCACAACCACGTTCCCACCTGTGGACCCCCACAACCACGTTCCCACCTGTGGTCCCCCACAACCACGTTCCCACCTGTGGACCCCCACAACCACGTTCCCACCTGTGGACCCCCACAACCACGTTCCCACCTGTGGACCCCCACAACCACGTTCCCACCTGTGGGCCCCACAACCACGTTCCCACCTGTGGACCCCCACAACCACGTTCCCACCTGTGGACCCCCACAACCACGTTCCCACCTGTGAACCACCACAACCACGTTCCCACCTGTGGACCCCCACAACCACGTTCCCACCTGTGGACCCCCACAACCACGTTCCCACCTGTGGACCCCCACAACCACGTTCCCACCTGTGAACCACCACAACCACGTTCCTAACCGTGGACCCCCACAACCACGTTCACACCTGTGGACCCCCACAACCACGTTCACACCTGTGGACCCCACAACCACGTTCCCACCTGTGGACCCCACAACCACGTTCCTATTCTGATCACGACTCATTAGAAGATCATATTTTGTTGGAGTACAATACATAATGTGGGAGAGGGTACAGAGAGTGGGTGAGGGTACAGAGTGTGGGAGAGGGTACAGAGTGTGGGAGAGGGTACAGAGTGTGGGTGAGGGTACAGAGTGTGGGTGAGGGTACAGAGTGTGGGTGAGGGTACAGAGTGTGGGAGAGGGTACAGAGTGTGGGTGAGGGTACAGAGTGTGGGTGAGGGGTACAGAGTGTGGGAGAGGGTACAGAGTGTGGGTGAGGGTACAGAGTGTGGGTGAGGGTACAGAGTGTGGGTGAGGGTACAGAGTGTGGGAGAGGGTACAGAGTGTGGGTGAGGGTACAGAGTGTGGGTGAGGGGTACAGAGTGTGGGTGAGGGGTACAGAGTGTGGGAGAGGGTACAGAGTGTGTAAGAGGGTACAGAGTGTGGGAGAGG